GGTGTATGATATCTGTGGTGTGGGAGGTGTATGATATATGTGGTGTGGGAGGTGTATGATATCTGTGGTCAGGTGTGGGAGGTGTATGATATCTGTGGTCAGGTGTGGGAGGTGTATGATATCTGTGGTCAGGTGTGGGAGGTGTATGATATCTGTGGTCAGGTGTGGGAGGTGTATGACATCTGTGGTGTGGGAGGTGTATGATATCTGTGGTGTGGGAGGTGTATGATATATGTGGTGTGGGAGGTGTATGATATCTGTGGTCAGGTGTGGGAGGTGTATGATATCTGTGGTCAGGTGTGGGAGGTGTATGATATCTGTGGTCAGGTGTGGGAGGTGCATGATATATGTGGTGTGGGAGGTGTATGATATATGTGGTGTGGGATGTGTATGATATCTGTGGTCAGGTGTGGGAGGTGTATGATATCTGTGGTCAGGTGTGGGAGGTGTATGATATCTGTGGTGTGGGAGGTGTATGATATCTGTGGTCAGGTGTGGGAGGTGTATGATATCTGTGGTCAGGTGTGGGAGGTGTATGATATCTGTGGTCATGTGTGGGAGGTGTATGATATCTGTGGTCATGTGTGGGAGGTGTATGATATCTGTGGTCAGGTGTGGGAGGTGTATGATATCTGTGGTCAGGTGTGGGAGGTGTATGATATCTGTGGTCAGGTGTGGGAGGTGTATGATATCTGTGGTGTGGGAGGTGTATGATATCTGTGGTCAGGTGTGGGAGGTGTATGATATCTGTGGTCATGTGTGGGAGGTGTATGATATCTGTGGTCAGGTGTGGGAGGTGTATGATATCTGTGGTGTGGGAGGTGTATGATATCTGTGGTGTGGGAGGTGTATGATATCTGTGGTCAGGTGTGGGAGGTGTATGATATATGTGGTGTGGGAGGTGTATGATATCTGTGGTGTGGGAGGTGTATGATATATGTGGTCAGGTGTGGGAGGTGTATGATATCTGTGGTCAGGTGTGGGAGGTGTATGATATCTGTGGTCAGGTGTGGGAGGTGTATGATATCTGTGGTGTGGGAGGTGTATGATATCTGTGGTGTGGGAGGTGTATGATATATGTGGTGTGGGAGGTGTATGATATCTGTGGTCAGGTGTGGGAGGTGTATGATATCTGTGGTCAGGTGTGGGAGGTGTATGATATCTGTGGTCAGGTGTGGGAGGTGTATGATATCTGCTCAGGTGTGGGAGGTGTATGATATCTGTGGTGTGGGAGGTGTATGATATATGTGGTGTGGGAGGTGTATGATATCTGTGGTCAGGTGTGGGAGGTGTATGATATCTGTGGTCAGGTGTGGGAGGTGTATGATATCTGTGGTCAGGTGTGGGAGGTGTATGATATCTGTGGTCAGGTGTGGGAGGTGTATGACATCTGTGGTGTGGGAGGTGTATGATATCTGTGGTGTGGGAGGTGTATGATATATGTGGTGTGGGAGGTGTATGATATCTGTGGTCAGGTGTGGGAGGTGTATGATATATGTGGTGTGGGAGGTGTATGATATCTGTGGTGTGGGAGGTGTATGATATATGTGGTGTGGGAGGTGTATGATATATGTGGTGTGGGATGTGTATGATATCTGTGGTCAGGTGTGGGAGGTGTATGATATCTGTGGTCAGGTGTGGGAGGTGTATGATATCTGTGGTGTGGGAGGTGTATGATATCTGTGGTCAGGTGTGGGAGGTGTATGATATCTGTGGTCAGGTGTGGGAGGTGTATGATATCTGTGGTCATGTGTGGGAGGTGTATGATATCTGTGGTCATGTGTGGGAGGTGTATGATATCTGTGGTCAGGTGTGGGAGGTGTATGATATCTGTGGTCAGGTGTGGGAGGTGTATGATATCTGTGGTCAGGTGTGGGAGGTGTATGATATCTGTGGTGTGGGAGGTGTATGATATCTGTGGTCAGGTGTGGGAGGTGTATGATATCTGTGGTCATGTGTGGGAGGTGTATGATATCTGTGGTCAGGTGTGGGAGGTGTATGATATCTGTGGTGTGGGAGGTGTATGATATCTGTGGTGTGGGAGGTGTATGATATCTGTGGTCAGGTGTGGGAGGTGTATGATATATGTGGTGTGGGAGGTGTATGATATCTGTGGTGTGGGAGGTGTATGATATATGTGGTGTGGGAGGTGTATGATATCTGTGGTGTGGGAGGTGTATGATATCTGTGGTCAGGTGTGGGTGGTGTATGATATATGTGGTGTGGGAGGTGTATGATATCTGTGGTCAGGTGTGGGAGGTGTATGATATCTGTGGTGTGGGAGGTGTATGATATCTGTGGTGTGGGAGGTGTATGATATATGTGGTGTGGGAGGTGTATGATATATGTGGTGTGGGAGGTGTATGATATCTGTGGTGTGGGAGGTGTATGATATCTGTGGTCAGGTGTGGGTGGTGTATGATATATGTGGTGTGGGAGGTGTATGATATCTGTGGTCAGGTGTGGGAGGTGTATGATATCTGTGGTGTGGGAGGTGTATGATATCTGTGGTGTGGGAGGTGTATGATATATGTGGTGTGGGAGGTGTATGATATATGTGGTGTGGGAGGTGTATGATATCTGTGGTGTGGGAGGTGTATGATATCTGTGGTGTGGGAGGTGTATGATATCTGTGGTCAGGTGTGGGAGGTGTATGATATCTGTGGTCAGGTGTGGGAGGTGTATGATATCTGTGGTCAGGTGTGGGAGGTGTATGATATCTGTGGTCAGGTGTGGGAGGTGTATGATATCTGTGGTGTGGGAGGTGTATGATATCTGTGGTGTGGGAGGTGTATGATATCTGTGGTCAGGTGTGGGAGGTGTATGATATCTGTGGTGTGGGAGGTGTATGATATCTGTGGTGTGGGAGGTGTATGATATATGTGGTGTGGGAGGTGTATGATATCTGTGGTCAGGTGTGGGAGGTGTATGATATATGTGGTGTGGGAGGTGTATGATATCTGTGGTGTGGGAGGTGTATGATATATGTGGTGTGGGAGGTGTATGATATCTGTGGTGTGGGAGGTGTATGATATCTGTGGTCAGGTGTGGGAGCTGTATGATATCTGTGGTCAGGTGTGGGAGGTGTATGATATCTGTGGTGTGGGAGGTGTATGATATCTGTGGTGTGGGAGGTGTATGATATATGTGGTGTGGGAGGTGTATGATATCTGTGGTCAGGTGTGGGAGGTGTATGATATCTGTGGTCAGGTGTGGGAGGTGTATGATATCTGTGGTCAGGTGTGGGAGGTGTATGATATCTGTGGTCGGGTGTGGGAGGTGTATGATATCTGTGGTGTGGGAGGTGTATGATATATGTGGTGTGGGAGGTGTATGATATCTGTGGTCAGGTGTGGGAGGTGTATGATATCTGTGGTCAGGTGTGGGAGGTGTATGATATCTGTGGTCAGGTGTGGGAGGTGTATGATATCTGTGGTGTGGGAGGTGTATGATATCTGTGGTCAGGTGTGGGAGGTGTATGATATCTGTGGTCAGGTGTGGGAGGTGTATGATATCTGTGGTCAGGTGTGGGAGGTGTATGATATCTGTGGTGTGGGAGGTGTATGATATCTGTGGTGTGGGAGGTGTATGATATATGTGGTGTGGGAGGTGTATGATATCTGTGGTCAGGTGTGGGAGGTGTATGATATCTGTGGTCAGGTGTGGGAGGTGTATGATATCTGTGGTCAGGTGTGGGAGGTGTATGATATCTGCTCAGGTGTGGGAGGTGTATGATATCTGTGGTGTGGGAGGTGTATGATATATGTGGTGTGGGAGGTGTATGATATCTGTGGTCAGGTGTGGGAGGTGTATGATATCTGTGGTCAGGTGTGGGAGGTGTATGATATCTGTGGTCAGGTGTGGGAGGTGTATGATATCTGTGGTCAGGTGTGGGAGGTGTATGACATCTGTGGTGTGGGAGGTGTATGATATCTGTGGTGTGGGAGGTGTATGATATATGTGGTGTGGGAGGTGTATGATATCTGTGGTCAGGTGTGGGAGGTGTATGATATCTGTGGTCAGGTGTGGGAGGTGTATGATATCTGTGGTCAGGTGTGGGAGGTGTATGATATATGTGGTGTGGGAGGTGTATGATATATGTGGTGTGGGATGTGTATGATATCTGTGGTCAGGTGTGGGAGGTGTATGATATCTGTGGTCAGGTGTGGGAGGTGTATGATATCTGTGGTGTGGGAGGTGTATGATATCTGTGGTCAGGTGTGGGAGGTGTATGATATCTGTGGTCAGGTGTGGGAGGTGTATGATATCTGTGGTCATGTGTGGGAGGTGTATGATATCTGTGGTCATGTGTGGGAGGTGTATGATATCTGTGGTCAGGTGTGGGAGGTGTATGATATCTGTGGTCAGGTGTGGGAGGTGTATGATATCTGTGGTCAGGTGTGGGAGGTGTATGATATCTGTGGTGTGGGAGGTGTATGATATCTGTGGTCAGGTGTGGGAGGTGTATGATATCTGTGGTCATGTGTGGGAGGTGTATGATATCTGTGGTCAGGTGTGGGAGGTGTATGATATCTGTGGTGTGGGAGGTGTATGATATATGTGGTGTGGGAGGTGTATGATATCTGTGGTCAGGTGTGGGAGGTGTATGATATCTGTGGTCATGTGTGGGAGGTGTATGATATCTGTGGTCAGGTGTGGGAGGTGTATGATATCTGTGGTGTGGGAGGTGTATGATATCTGTGGTCAGGTGTGGGAGGTGTATGATATCTGTGGTGTGGGAGGTGTATGATATCTGTGGTCAGGTGTGGGAGGTGTATGATATCTGTGGTCATGTGTGGGAGGTGTATGATATCTGTGGTCAGGTGTGGGAGGTGTATGATATCTGTGGTGTGGGAGGTGTATGATATCTGTGGTCAGGTGTGGGAGGTGTATGATATCTGTGGTGTGGGAGGTGTATGATATCTGTGGTCAGGTGTGGGAGGTGTATGATATCTGTGGTCAGGTGTGGGAGGTGTATGATGTCTGTCCACATATTTCAGGTGTGGCAAGTGTAGAAGGTACATGAAGTTTGTCCAGGCTAAACCATCGCGCCTCCACTGTTGTTCATGTGATGAGACCTTCTCGCTGCCCCAGAATGGCAACATCAAGCTGTACAAGGAGCTCAAGTGTCCACTGGATGAGTTTGAACTGGTCTTGTGGTCGACAGGGGCCAAAGGAAAGGTATCTCTACAGCACCAGACTTACCCCTGTGTCCCATTAATTACAGACTTACCCCTGTGTCCCATTAATTACAGACTTACCTCCTGTGTCCCATTAATTACAGACTTACCCCCTGTGTCCCATTAATTACAGACTTACCTCCTGTGTCCCATTAATTACAGACTTACCCCCTGTGTCCCATTAATTTCAGACTTACCCCCTGTGTCCCATTAATTACAGACTTACCCCTGTGTCCCATTAATTACAGACTTACCCCCTGTGTCCCATTAATTACAGACTTACCCGCTGTGTCCCATTAATTACAGACTTACCCCTGTGTCCCATTAATTACAGACTTACCCCATGTGTCCCATTAATTACAGACTTACCCGCTGTGCCCCTACTGCTACAACAACCCCCCATTCTCTGACATGAGAAAAGGGATGGGCTGCAATGAGTGCACACACCCCACGTGTTCTCACGCCTTTGGACAGAACGGAGTCTCCGAGTGTGTGGAGTGTGACAGTGGTGTGCTGGTACTGGACCACACCTCAGGTCCCAAGTGGAGGATGGCGTGTAACAAGTGGGTACATCACTCTCTAGTGGCTACATCACTCTCTCTCTAGTGGCTACATCACTCTCTCTCTCTCTAGTGGCTACATCACTCTCTCTAGTGGCTACATCACTCTCTCTAGTGGCTACATCACTCTCTCTCTAGTGGCTACATCACTCTCTCTAGTGGGTACATCACTCTCTCTAGTGGCTACATCACTCTCTAGTGGCTACATCACTCTCTCTAATGGCTACATCACTCTCTAGTGGCTACATCACTCTCTCTAGTGGCTACATCACTCTCTAGTGGCTACATCACTCTCTAGTGGCTACATCACTCTCTCTAGTGGCTACATCACTCTCTAGTGGCTACATCACTCTCTCTAGTGGCTACATCACTCTCTCTAGTGGCTACATCACTCTCTAGTGGCTACATCACTCTCTCTAGTGGCTACATCACTCTCTAGTGGCTACATCACTCTCTCTAGTGGCTACATCACTCTCTCTAGTGGCTACATCACTATCTCTAGTGGCTACATCACTCTCTCTAGTGGCTACATCACTCTCTAGTGGCTACATCACTCTCTAGTGGCTACATCAGTCTCTCTCTAGTGGCTACATCAGTCTCTCTAGTGGCTACATCACTCTCTAGTGGCTACATCACTCTCTCTCTAGTGGCTACATCACTCTCTCTAGTGGGTACATCACTCTCTCTAGTGGCTACATCACTCTCTAGTGGCTACATCACTCTCTCTAATGGCTACATCACTCTCTAGTGGCTACATCACTCTCTCTAGTGGCTACATCACTCTCTAGTGGCTACATCACTCTCTAGTGGCTACATCACTCTCTCTAGTGGCTACATCACTCTCTAGTGGCTACATCACTCTCTCTAGTGGCTACATCACTCTCTCTAGTGGCTACATCACTCTCTAGTGGCTACATCACTCTCTCTAGTGGCTACATCACTCTCTAGTGGCTACATCACTCTCTCTAGTGGCTACATCACTCTCTCTAGTGGCTACATCACTATCTCTAGTGGCTACATCACTCTCTCTAGTGGCTACATCACTCTCTAGTGGCTACATCACTCTCTAGTGGCTACATCAGTCTCTCTCTAGTTGCTACATCAGTCTCTCTAGTGGCTACATCACTCTCTAGTGGCTACATCACTCTGTCTAGTGGCTACATCACTCTCTAGTGGCTACATCACTCTCTCTCTAGTTGCTACATCTCTCTCTCTAGTGGCTACATCACTCTCTAGTGGCTATATCACTCTCTAGTGGCTAAATCACTCTCTCTAGTGGCTACATCACTCTCTCTAGTGGCTACATCTCTCTCTCTAGTGGCTACATCAGTCTCTCTAGTGATTACATCAGTCTCTCTAGTGGCTACATCACTCTCTCTAGTGGCTACATCAGTCTCTCTAGTGGGTACATCACTCTCTCTCTATTGGCTACATCACTCTCTCTCTTGTGGCTACATCACTCTCTCTAGTGGCTACATCACTCTCCCTCTTGTGGCTACATCACTCTCTCTAGTGGCTACATCACTCTCTCTAGTGGCTACATCACTCTCTCTCTAGTAGCTACATCACTCTCTCTCTAGTAGCTACATCACTCTCTCTAGTGGCTACATCTCTCTCTAGTGGCTACATCACTCTCTGGTGCTACATCACTCTCTCTCTAGTAGCTACATCACTCTCTCTAGTGGCTACATCACTCTCTAGTGGCTACATCACTCTCTCTAGTGGCTACATCACTCTCTCTAGTGGCTACATCACTCTCTCTCTAGTGGCTACATCACTCTCTCTAGTGGCTACATCACTCTCTCTCTAGTGGCTACATCACTCTCTAGTGGCTACATCACTCTCTGGTGCTACATCACTCTCTGGTGCTACATCACTCTCTCTAGTAGCTACATCACTCTCTAGTAGCTACATCACTCTCTCTAGTGGCTACATCACTCTCTCTAGTGGATACATCACTCTCTCTAGTGGCTACATCACTCTCTGGTGCTACATCACTCTCTCTCTAGTAGCTACATCACTCTCTCTAGTGGCTACATCTCTCTCTAGTGGCTACATCACTCTCTGGTGCTACATCACTCTCTCTCTAGTAGCTACATCACTCTCTCTAGTGGCTACATCACTCTCTAGTGGCTACATCACTCTCTCTAGTGGCTACATCACTCTCTCTAGTGGATACATCACTCTCTCTAGTGGCTACATCACTCTCTCTAGTGGATACATCACTCTCTCTCTAGTGGCTACATCACTCTCTCTCTCTAGTGGCTACATCACTCTCTCTCTAGTGGCTACATCTCTCTCTAGTGGCTACATCACTCTCTGGTGCTACATCACTCTCTAGTGGCTACATCACTCTCTCTCTCTCTAGTGGCTACATCACTCTCTCTAGTGGCTACATCACTCTCTCTAGTGGCTACATCACTCTCTCTCTAGTGGCTACATCACTCTCTCTAGTGGGTACATCACTCTCTCTAGTGGCTACATCACTCTCTAGTGGCTACATCACTCTCTCTAATGGCTACATCACTCTCTAGTGGCTACATCACTCTCTCTAGTGGCTACATCACTCTCTAGTGGCTACATCACTCTCTAGTGGCTACATCACTCTCTCTAGTGGCTACATCACTCTCTAGTGGCTACATCACTCTCTCTAGTGGCTACATCACTCTCTCTAGTGGCTACATCACTCTCTAGTGGCTACATCACTCTCTCTAGTGGCTACATCACTCTCTAGTGGCTACATCACTCTCTCTAGTGGCTACATCACTCTCTCTAGTGGCTACATCGCTATCTCTAGTGGCTACATCACTCTCTCTAGTGGCTACATCACTCTCTAGTGGCTACATCACTCTCTAGTGGCTACATCAGTCTCTCTCTAGTGGCTACATCAGTCTCTCTAGTGGCTACATCACTCTCTAGTGGCTACATCACTCTCTCTCTAGTGGCTACATCACTCTCTCTAGTGGGTACATCACTCTCTCTAGTGGCTACATCACTCTCTAGTGGCTACATCACTCTCTCTAATGGCTACATCACTCTCTAGTGGCTACATCACTCTCTCTAGTGGCTACATCACTCTCTAGTGGCTACATCACTCTCTAGTGGCTACATCACTCTCTCTAGTGGCTACATCACTCTCTAGTGGCTACATCACTCTCTCTAGTGGCTACATCACTCTCTCTAGTGGCTACATCACTCTCTAGTGGCTACATCACTCTCTCTAGTGGCTACATCACTCTCTAGTGGCTACATCACTCTCTCTAGTGGCTACATCACTCTCTCTAGTGGCTACATCACTATCTCTAGTGGCTACATCACTCTCTCTAGTGGCTACATCACTCTCTAGTGGCTACATCACTCTCTAGTGGCTACATCAGTCTCTCTCTAGTTGCTACATCAGTCTCTCTAGTGGCTACATCACTCTCTAGTGGCTACATCACTCTGTCTAGTGGCTACATCACTCTCTAGTGGCTACATCACTCTCTCTAGTTGCTACATCTCTCTCTCTAGTGGCTACATCACTCTCTAGTGGCTATATCACTCTCTAGTGGCTAAATCACTCTCTCTAGTGGCTACATCACTCTCTCTAGTGGCTACATCTCTCTCTCTAGTGGCTACATCAGTCTCTCTAGTGATTACATCAGTCTCTCTAGTGGCTACATCACTCTCTCTAGTGGCTACATCAGTCTCTCTAGTGGGTACATCACTCTCTCTCTATTGGCTACATCACTCTCTCTCTTGTGGCTACATCACTCTCTCTAGTGGCTACATCACTCTCCCTCTTGTGGCTACATCACTCTCTCTAGTGGCTACATCACTCTCTCTAGTGGCTACATCACTCTCTCTCTAGTAGCTACATCACTCTCTCTCTAGTAGCTACATCACTCTCTCTAGTGGCTACATCTCTCTCTAGTGGCTACATCACTCTCTGGTGCTACATCACTCTCTCTCTAGTAGCTACATCACTCTCTCTAGTGGCTACATCACTCTCTAGTGGCTACATCACTCTCTCTAGTGGCTACATCACTCTCTCTAGTGGCTACATCACTCTCTCTCTAGTGGCTACATCACTCTCTCTAGTGGCTACATCACTCTCTCTCTAGTGGCTACATCACTCTCTAGTGGCTACATCACTCTCTGGTGCTACATCACTCTCTGGTGCTACATCACTCTCTCTAGTAGCTACATCACTCTCTAGTAGCTACATCACTCTCTCTAGTGGCTACATCACTCTCTCTAGTGGATACATCACTCTCTCTAGTGGCTACATCACTCTCTGGTGCTACATCACTCTCTCTCTAGTAGCTACATCACTCTCTCTAGTGGCTACATCTCTCTCTAGTGGCTACATCACTCTCTGGTGCTACATCACTCTCTCTCTAGTAGCTACATCACTCTCTCTAGTGGCTACATCACTCTCTAGTGGCTACATCACTCTCTCTAGTGGCTACATCACTCTCTCTAGTGGATACATCACTCTCTCTAGTGGCTACATCACTCTCTCTAGTGGATACATCACTCTCTCTCTAGTGGCTACATCACTCTCTCTCTCTAGTGGCTACATCACTCTCTCTCTAGTGGCTACATCTCTCTCTAGTGGCTACATCACTCTCTGGTGCTACATCACTCTCTGGTGCTACATCACTCTCTCTAGTAGCTACATCACTCTCTAGTAGCTACATCACTCTCTCTAGTGGCTACATCACTCTCTAGTGGATACATCACTCTCTCTAGTGGCTACATCACTCTCTAGTGGCTACATCACTCTCTAGTGGCTACATCACTCTCTCTAGTGGCTACATCACTCTCTAGTGGCTACATCACTCTCTAGTGGCTACATCACTCTCTCTAGTGGATACATCACTCTCTCTAGTGGCTACATCACTCTCTAGTGGCTACATCACTCTCTAGTGGCTACATCACTCTCTCTATCGGATACATCACTCTCTCTAGTGGCTACATCACTCTCTCTAGTGGCTACATCACTCTCTCTAGTAGCTACATCACTCTCTAGTGGCTACATCACTCTCTAGTGGCTACATCACTCTCTAGTGGCTACATCACTCTCTAGTGGCTATATCACTCTCTCTCTAGTGGCTACATCACTCTCTCTAGTGGCTACATCACTCTCTAGTGGCTACATCACTCTCTAGTGGCTACATCACTCTCTAGTGGCTACATCACTATCTCTAGTGGCTACATCACTCTCTCTAGTGGCTACATCACTCTCTAGTGGCTACATCACTCTCTCTAGTGGCTACATCACTCTCTCTAGTGGCTACATCACTCTCTAGTGGCTACATCACTCTCTAGTGGCTACATCACTATCTCTAGTGGCTACATCACTCTCTCTAGTGGCTACATCACTCTCTCTAGTGGATACATCACTCTCTCTAGTGGCTACATCACTCTCTCTAGTGGCTACATCACTCTCTCTAGTGGCTACATCACTCTCTCTAGTGGCTACATCACTCTCTCTAGTGGCTACATCACTCTCTAGTGGCTACATTATTCTCACCAAAGTCCTATGACAACTTACAGGTGCAGTGTTGTTGTCCATTTTTTTGATGGAGCATCCAGAGTGAGCGTCAAAGAAGATTCGTGTGAAGAGTGCGGAGCTAATGTTGTGGAGGTAGCATTTAAGGTAACCAAGCTCTTCTTTTACACAAAGCTAACAGCAGACACAACCATATGACCATGAACTTACAGCAGACACAACCATACCATGAACTCACAGCAGACAACCATATGACCATCAACTAACAGCAGATGCAACCGTATGACCATAAACTTAGAAGACACAACCATATGACCATAAACTTAGAAGACACAACCATTATACCATATGACCATGAACAGAGCACACACAACCATACGACCATGTCTATTCCTTGCATACCAGGAGGGCAAGAGTCCATTTCCTGCAGCCAACACCGAGCATTCAGGCTGTGTATTCTGCGACTCTGTCTTTAAACCACTCATGGAAAAACACCATGCAGCAGTCATGAGAAGAAATGTCAGAGTCAGCCGAGGCGGGAGAGGACGAGGCAGGGGAGGACGAGGAAGGGGCAGAGGGCGTGGAAAGCCTAAAGATAAAATGGCACAACTTGCAGCATACTTTGTTTGAATGACATAACCTGCTGCATACAATTAGGTACTCCAAACTGTGGTTTCAGCACAATTTTTTTCCACCACAAAGTTGTCCCATAAAATTAAGCGTATGAATTTTTTTTTTGTTAAAAAAAAAGGGAAGAATACATATTTTTGTAGCTCAAAGAACTATTTTTAGAGCAAAAAAACCAACCCCTCTTTACCCCTACCCCATTCTGATGCTCCCGTGCCATATGACTTATGAATTCTAAACTTACACTTCGATTGAATGACATTTAGTCTCGTATAAAATGTTTATTATTTTAAGTAGTAAAAACGGCTAAAATATCAATTTTTCTACGAAAAATTTAATGGTCACCAAAATCCACAAGACTAAAAATACAAATTTTCTACTAGAATGGTTAGAAAGATAGTCCATTTTTCTAATCAATAGGACTTTCTGAAGCGCATAACTTTTTTTCTAATAGTCCAACAGATGTAAAATTGGTGTCCACAATCTTAGAATTATTACTATTAGTTACTATGCAGAAAAACCAAAGCCGTTATTGTGCGGCTGATTTTTGAAAAATCAGTTTGGAGTACCTAATGCAAAGAATATGTCAATAAATGCAATTAGCAATGTTTTCCAAAAAAGTGTTACATTTTCCATCATTTATTAAGAGCACAACTTTATTCATTGATATAATTCTAAAAGCAGGAATTTTTTTATACACAATTTCTTTTAAACAAGAATATCCACTGCCAGTTCTATTCCCAGAGCCGGCGTAAGGGGCCAAGGGCTAACCATTCGCGATGGGCCTGAATTTTCCATTTGTGTCTTAAAACATGTACAGTAAGGCTATTTTAATTCAACGAAATAGCGTAGGAATTAAGGTGTGTGCAGCCTAGAACTGAAAACAACGTTTAGAAGCGGAATATCAATGGCTATGTACCAAAGGTGCTCTTCATGATGCCCCTTTCTGGATCAACATTGTGCCATCATGTCAGTACCATTGGTAGAGGATTGTATATATAACAATTTGGATGAATTCGATAAATTAAAAATTCTGTCTGGAAATGGATGATTCCTTAAGATTACACAAAGCAAGCAAGCAAAGTTCCCTTTTCAAACTTGACAGTCTTTAGGGCAAGTGAAGTTCACTTGTTTATGAAGAGATAGTGTGGTCAGCACTATGCCCAGCCGCCTTTACTTTCCCTAAAAAGAGTTAGGTACCTATCAGTAGGTATTCTAAATGAGCCGAAAAATTTAAGCCGGTTTTAAAAAATTTTGGTCGCGTTGCGGCATCGCGCGGCGGTCCGACCCCATAACACATACGCAATTATAAACCACTGATTTAGAAAGAAGAATGGTAGCTCTGTAAGATGGTATAACTTTACCAGCTGTATAATATAATTAAATGCTAAAAATGTTCAATTTAAAATTTTAAAATGTTTTTTTTCCATGAAAAAATAATTTTACAGCCGCCAAAGTTGTATATTCCGAAAGGGCATCCAATTTGCCATAAAACTGTTACGATTTAATGAACACTCCATGTATGGGGTCGGACCGCAGTAAATGAAACCAATGTATACAAATCGCGACGACCCGCATCTAAATTTCGCCGGCTTGAGTCAAGATTTTGTTGAATTCCGGAACACCCGACCTCGGTTCAGAGCAAGATTTTGTGTTTATTCGTTGATTACAGTGGATTTAAAAGCACGTGCAGGTAAGTTGAATGCACATTATATTACTAGCTATATTCTATTTATTTATAATTAACTGCTGCTTTAATACATTTGAATATTAGTGTCCGCTTATCGGTAATTGCTCCACGCTTAAAAAAAAAATTTCCAAAAAATTATCTAGCCTTTTTTAACCCTTTCCCCGGCGACTGGGTGTAATCGACCCGAAGTCACTATATTTTTGCTCATATCTCGAGTCTCGTTTTATAAATTTTTCTGGGCCTCATTCCCATCTATAAGGTGGTTGGGATGAACACATTGGAGGTTGTAAATTTTAAAAATATGCGTAAAAATTTTTTTTATGAGGGTTTGAAATTTTTGTATACGGTCCCTGGCAACTGGGTGCTACACACCCGTACACAATTTTGAATGGAAAAAAATATTTATAACTTATAAACTGGCTTCTAACAATTTGTTTTTACTCATTGTGGGTTAAGTCATTGTGTTACATTTTCAAAGTTTAACTATAAATTAACAATCTGAAGGTATTTGAGTAACAAAAATATCAAACCGATTCAACTTTAGTAACAAAATAATAGAACATTAACATGTTTTAATAATTTGCACCTCAGAGAGCACAGTTGTTAGATAAAATTAAAATAACTGGGCATTTCCTTTTGCTGGCAGGGAACTTTAGTTTTTTTTTTAATAAAATATGGGCACCCTTTTAGTGGTGTTACATAAGTCACAGGTCCAAAATAGTTTAATTCCATACTTATCGGAATTGCTTGGCATGTATTGGATAAATCTACTCCCACCTCTAAAATCAACCACTTGCTAATTAGTAATGATCTCTCCAGAAACATAATACCTTTCTAAATTTGAATGGAATATCTACCATAATGGAAGCAAATATACCATGAGCCTGATGGATTGTTAGTGTTATTGTTGTGAAAGTGAATATGACCCAGAAGGTTGCTGAATTTCTGCCTTCAAAAACTTGCATAAGCAGAACTGAATTGACATACAACTAAATTGTTATTCTGCAGGGTGCCAGTGTCACCTCTTGCTTTCTCTCCATCCCTGCTAATGCAGTCAAATATTGGTTGTATTATTTTTTGTATTCATGCACAGAAGAAATATTTAGGGTCAGGCTGTTTATAAATTTCCTAGGATTAGCACTTCAGGCAGTGGTCTAGTGTACTGTTACTTTGTCTTTCCTGAAAATATTTATTTTTCTTCACTTTGCACCTGCCGTTTCATTTCATTATGAGTGCCAACTGTTGACACATTATTGATAGTTGAAATGCAGTATATTGGGTAGACCTCGTCATCAGAGCTGCTTGATACTGATGGCTGCCATTCTTCATCTTCTACATCTGATACTAATAGTTCAGACTCAAATCTTGTTAGTTATTTTCACCAGCTATACTAAAACTGGCAAATATATTCCTTTATCATTAGCACTTGAGTTTAGACAAAAGCGTTCAAGACTTGTTTCTGTTGTGTTCTCAATAACGTTTGTGACTATTTATAAACCTTACTCTCAGGGTCACAACCTGTAGAACACCCACCCCACTTCCAGTTTGATCAATTAATTGCCCAGTATTAACTTTCAAGCAGCATTACAAAGTTGTTTTGCCTTTTTGTCCTCATTCGTACTCCTAATGAGGTTTATGTCAAGTTACTCTAAAAGGCTCGAATGTCTCTATCTACATTCCAAAGCTCCCTAAAAGAGTACAAATCACTATATATGTCCTCTCACAGGCAATCTTACCCCTGCATTTCATTAACCTATTGTAACTCTAAACTACAGTTCTGTCTGTAACTGCAAGTCAGAGCTCCAGCAAAGAGTATAAATCACTACATGTGTCCACCCACAGGTTAACTCTTGCTTGAGAATCCCATCAACCTGAAGTATCATATTACAGCTCTCCCATTGACAATAACATGTCTTGTGTTCCCCTTGGCCTCTGTGCCCTGAATACCTTAACTGTGTCAGTATTGTTACCCACTCCACAATGAACAGAAAAGAATTTACTATAAGAAAGTCTTTGGGTGTGATCCACCCAGTTGCTGGGGACAGGGTACCAAATATGTTGCCGGGGAAAGGGTTAAAAGTCCGTTGTATTTAATTTATGGTCACTGAAATAAAAAAGGAATGCACAATTAAATCAAAAAGATGTTTAAAAGGATGATAGAATTTAATTTGGTTTAGTAAATTATGTTAGTTAATAACATCGGCCGATTAAACTATCCACATTTTGTCGATATTTCAAGCCGACTGTCCGCCATGTTTTTTTTTTACTTTCTCGTAGTGTTGGGTTCAACTATTATATTACCGCAGCGGTTAACAGCATACTTTCAATTTATTGTAGCATTGTTTTTTGTTGTCTTTCCTAGTTTATTAGTTAACTATTCTATATATGTGCAGTAGTTACATTAAATTTTAGAATATTACGATCTTTTACATTTTTAATCTCTAGATTTATTGTACAGACGACTTAAAATAAAATGTAGCCCCCCTTCCATAATAGTTTAGGCCAAAGTGGTTTCTAGATTTAGTCTAGATTCTAGATCTACTTAGATTAGTTAGATTCACCATTGCTTTCATGTTAATATTTAGTAGTAGAACTATCTATAGTGCTTACATTTAATATCTAAAAAGCATTGAGCAGCCTTACTTTTAATATTATTATTCTATTTACAGAGCAAGATATTAGCATAAAAGAAAGTGGAAACTGAAAGGCCTGCCAAAAAATATGTATTGTTTGTGTAAGCACCAACAGGACTCCTGAATACTTTTGAAGGAAACCATATGTCAAATGTTAGTATTGTATGCACTTTGCTTATTATTTATAATGATGTAATGTTACATGATTGATATCTAAGTTGGTATAAAGATATACAGGCCTGCTATATAAGTCAGTATATTTGAAATGCTAATTAATTGTTTTTATTCACAGACATTTTCTCTACTCTGGACCAATGGAAGGATCCCTTACTAGATTCCATAATTTGATGTGTGCTGCCAGTTCACAATCATTTATTACAATGCTACTCCAAACCTTGAAGAAGACAAACTCAACCAGGATATTGACTATTAATTACAATGCTACCCAACCTAATAGAGAACTTTCCCAATCAGGATATTGACCTGTCTTTTTGAACCTGCTCTAAGATTTCTGATAATTGTATAAGTTAGGACCTAGACATTTCCAGAAGTTGACTTTGATCAATAACTAACTAGAAGAAATAAATATACTAGTAACAAGTAAATTTATGCTAAACAAGTCATGATTAGGAACCAGAGTAACAAAACTAGATGAACATCACAACTCTATTAGTTATCTTACTTCGTCAGTTTTTAAAATGCATGGAATTTCTTATTATTATAGTATATAAGTAAAGTAATAGTATAGTTATTTAGTTTTTTTATAACAAATTAATGCTACCATGTATCCTACACAATTTATATTACTTTCTTAAAAGTAAGAACACTTTTTGCAAGATGTTAGGTAATGAAAATTCTTGATTTTGGGCGTTAAGGAAGGATGCCTTGTATTGTTTTGCAGAAGGATTATTTCATGTTTCTGTGTTTATTATATATTAAGAACATCATATGCTTTAAGTTGGTGTAAGATTTATTAAGATACCTTACTTAAATATTTTTAAATCATTTTTTGAAAAAGGATGAAATTTCAAATTTTTATAAACTGACCTTGCTGAATCTGGTCTCGCTAATTACTTTCTTTACTAATTCTTTACCTGCTTGTTTCATATTAACATGCTTTGAATTTCCTTTCTTAGAACATTTATATTATTAATGTGGCTTAATTAGTTGATTTTCTATGATTTTTTAAAAATGACTGTAAATTAACTTTTTGTCTCCCTTTTCGTACTTCGTTAAAATTGTGCTTTGGCTCATTTTTATGTGAATAAATTTTCTATTTATATCGGTCTGACTACCTTGAAAAAAATTGGGTTTGCTATTTGTATTACTGGCTGTGTGTGCAAGAAATTTGAGAGTTCTAACTTAGTTATTGTAGAAGTTAGTAGGGGTCTCAAATAGACCCTTTACTGCTCAAAAAGCGAACGCATTTTTTGAGTTTTAAAAAATTCATAACTTTTTTAAAAATGGACATACACCAATAAATTTGGTGTTTCTGTTCTGATGAAAACAGTCTCTATCAGGTGGAAGTGTTAAATTTTATTTAATTTCATTATAAAAATTTCATTTTGAATACCTACTATCAGTGTCAGAGTTGGGTGGACTCCGGGACGGTCTACTGACTTGAACCCGGATACAAACTAAAGAATTACGGGTTTGCACTTGCAGTCCAGCTCTCTACCGCTAGACCACTCCGTCCCACTTCTGCCCAAAAACAAACAAGTAAACACTGTTGAAAGCACCACTGCCCTAAAGTGGATCGCCTGGGCCCCCTACGCCGTGATTCTTCCAGTTCCAGACAATTTTTTCCGAGAGGGGGGGTGGGGGGAAAGGAGCATGTTTACAAAAATTTGGTCTAGTCTTATAATCGTAAGTACTATTCATAAATAAGATTAAGAATTATTATTTAGTGTGATTGTATATGAAACAGTTTGGAGTACTTATCTGAAAGTAACTTATGAAAAATTGCATTACTCAACAAACTATACTATAAATGAAATCATTAAGATACCTAACTCATATTGCAACAGGAAATTCAAAAGTTCACTTTTATCTTAACTTATGATTTGATAAGTCAGAACCATTATTTAAATAGAAATGTTTTCCTGCCTTTTTAACATGGCCAGTTATATATACATTTAAAATAGTGCAAAAGCACAATCAAACTGACAAGGTGTAATTCAATTTAAGCAGTTTCCAAATTTTCCCCATTCATCTCTTCTAGAACAAGTCTACTGAAAGATAAACAAAACAATTTTTTTTTAAAGAAAATCTCTCATTTATTCATCTGGAACTTCAACTTCTCCACTGTTGATCTTCTCAATCACTGAATGAGGTGGAAGCTTATCAATGGTACAGCCAATGGACTGTGCAGTTCCTGAAGGGAAAGCATAACATTTTAATATCAGTATTAAAATAAGAGGCACAAGTGGGGTATTGTTAGCACTAAAACAGCTGTATTTAGAATGGAACAGACTGAAAAAATATTTGAAACGAGATATAGAACAAGTTAATTTGCTGAGCCGTCTGCTGCCTATGACAAAACCAACTATCAGGTCATCTCAAGCTCTAAAGCAATAGCACTTACCTAACACTTCTTTTACAGTGCCAGAGAGTTCTTTAGCCATGCTGCGAGAACGCATTTGTTTAGCTATCTTGATTATATCATCCATTGTCAAGTTGCCATTATGCTTGACTGAAAAATGCAAGCAATAGAGAAGATCACACAGTAGTTAAAGATTAATCAGCTTATATTGTTTTTAAATTAATGCAAAATGCACTGAAATGTTTACCATGTTTAACCTTCTTTCTGTCCCTGGGAGGTTCTTTTAATGCACGAATGATTAGGGCTGCAGCACTAGGAACAACCTCTACTTTAGCTTGTCTGTTCTGTACTACAAGCTTTACTGTAATTTTGAGACCTTTCCAATCAGCGGTTCCCTTCTGAATGTCATCACCAACTTTCTTTGGAGACTGATGGTTAAAAAATTATTGTACCAGCTGAATAACCAGAATATGACAAACAATAGCAATTTCAACCCTTTACAGCACTATGTGCCCCGCTCTCAGCCAATTATAACTAGGCCTATAGTACAGCCTGGTGCACCAACATGTGCAGTAGAGGAAGTCTCGTTAGCTACCAGTTTTTTGAATGATACAGGCGGAATCGGGGAACTTTTGATTTACATTGCCATCTTGATATGCCATATCTTATTTAAACTGAACATTTTAATATAAGAGGTTAATACCTAAAAATTAGCGCCTAATGGATTAAACATGCTGCAGCCATCCCCATTTCACCTCTCGGGTTGCTTTAATAGCCATAGCTATAGTATTTGGCCGATGCTAGCGGGAATAAGATACGCATGCGCAATGGAGAGAAACTACTACTTGCCATCGCGACGATATTTTCGATGGTACTGCGCATGCGTGTGTTTACAACTGCAAAACCCTAACACCAACCCTAACCCTATCCCTACCCATAGGCCACTGCGCATGAACAGAGCTATCTTTTGCCGATTAATCAAAGACGTTAGGGAGAAAAATCTTCAGAGTAGTCACTTTGATAGTATTTACAGTGTCCCGCACATATGTAGAAGCTACTTATAGTTAACCTAATTATAAACAGCTTTGATTGGTTGGTTGTATTCGTCTCATCACGGACCTAGTGTTTTCATCCAGGGGAACCGGGATCACCGGCTGAAGTCATACCTCAACTTAAAACTATTCCAGAAGGAGAAAACAAAAGAATTTGACCTGGATTTCTTCTTCTTCATTCTTAATTATTAGTGTTGAAGGGGATCGAGATTTATCTGCCAGTGGGTTTGAACTGGAGACTGTTCGAATTTATCAACCATGAGCTTTTTGCAGACTCCACGCCTCCAACACAATTAAGCGTTACGTGTCAACTGGTTATGTGCCATTGACTCAGATTTCAGCCTTTGTCCAACCAAGAACAAACTACAAGGCAGCAGTTGTTTTATTTTGGAGTTGTCTCTCCTAGAAGAGTGGCTGTCCTCAGCTAACGAGCCTCATCTACCCGAGGGTTCGAACTCGAGACTTTGCAGTTTAGCAACCATGAGCTTTACCGACTCGACCTGCTGACCCGGATATATTTATCCAAACAATTATAAATTATACAAAGCAATAAACAGACGATCGCTTTGTGGCTTGACCATGCAGTGGAAATCTCTAGAATCGTAATGTTTTACTAACATTTTTGTGTTTTGGTTGTGTTGATACTAAAATGCGCTCACCTGGAGGTGAACATGAAGGCGAATAAAATACGCTAAAATGAATTATTGCCCAATTAGCCTAGGCCCTAGTAAAATAGCAAAGCAACTTACCAAGCCCAAAGGCCCAATCTTAGGAGCAAGTGAAGAAGTAGCTGGTACTTCACCTCCAACAGCTCTGCAGTAAACTAAAAAATAAATTGGAAATTGACTTAATTTTAGGCCTATAAAATTCAATTCTTAGATCTACCTAGGAGAGCAATTTCGGTAATCTATCGTTTTGGGTACGTAAAATCGCCCGCGGCTATTAATGTACGAAAACGTTACCTCAATGTCAAGGCTGTAATAGAAGTATATTGTGATATGCTTGTGTCAAATATTATAGATAAATGAATAATAAACCTAAATCAATGGCTAAATATGTCAATATAGGCCAGAAATTAACTTTAAACAGCAGTGTCTGCAAGCAAGATTTGCTATATAAACAGCGGCCATTTGTAAAATAGAGTGACTTCCGCTTGAATCTTGCGCTATAAGTCTATAAAAATAAAACTTTAACAAGATGGCTGCTATAGTAAATGAGCATGGTTGCATCTGTTGGAAACATCGCTGGTGTTCATCTATTACTGAAAAGTTTTAATTCAACTGTTTAAAAACAGGTACATAAATGAAACAAGGAAACATTTTTGTATTTTTCAAAACATAAATCCTCCTCAAAATGTTAAATAATTATTAAAATGTAAGGAGTCACCTGTTTTTCACATTACAAGTCGCGGGCGATTTTACGTACCCAAAACGATAGATTACCGCAATTTCTACTCTAGACATCGGTATGTGGATCCGCTGTCGTCTAAAAAAATGTTACTATTTAAATATAGATCTTTCTATATCACTAAAATTAAATACGTAGATCTATATACTATAGAATTATACAGAAAAAATCCAAAACTTCAGGTTCTTATCAATGTACCAATAAAATAACAATTGTTACCAATCCGCTATGATTGCACATGAAGTAGCCATTGCGGACTCTCCAAACTTTCGTGATAATTCAAGCAAGATGGTGCCCTAATAATAAATAATATGATTCTACCTATGAAAGTTGCGCCTGGATCAAATTTAGGAGGCATTCTGAGCCACTAAAACGACGGTTATGATGTTGGATGAGTCCTGATAGACACGACCAAATTACTGTTGCACCTAACCGTCTGGATAGGGACAAGGAAAAGGAAACACATTGAGTTACCGGAAATGAGGTGGTGTTACCGCTTTTCATATTGTTCGCACATTTCTTTTTACGTGTTTATAATTATTACTGAACGTCTTCTACAATTAATATCACTTAATAAAATGAATAGAAATATTGAATTAATAAGATTGAAGAATACTGAAGTGATTACTAATTTATATATGGTAATCTTAAAAAATTATTTACAAGACTAATTCAATGGTTTTTCAAAGTTTGACTGTAACATGATAACTGATAATAGTATCATAATAGGACTTGTCTCAGTCTTTCTAGCTTTCTCGTTAGTCAGGAGGGGTAGGTGTATACACTTCAGAACTAAATTGTCAGAAACATGATTCCAATTGATAAAACTAAATTCCCACCACTTTGTTTCTAGGCTTTGCTTTAAGATTTAAAAATACCAAGAGTACCTACCCAAAGGCAACAATCATATAATAAAATTTGTACTAAAAATATAATCAAATTAATATTTCTAATTAATAATATAACTTCATTTAGGATAACTTGTTATGCTTTATAAAACAAACTCAAAATTTAACGTAGGAGTAGAATATTTTTCTTTAAGCTAGCCTACATATTGTAGTCTTTTTCATTGTTTGTGATTTTAAATAACAATAAAAGCGCAAGTAACTTTTCTATTTATTTTTTAGCGCAATTTCCATTCTGGAGAATTGCGTTTATTAACTCGTCTTTTCTGGGAATGGATGGATGTGTGTCCGCAGCTTTAAGTCGTATCTCCTCCTCAAAGAAGCAATATCGAGGACTAGTTCCAAAAGCAATTATGTTAAGCAAGTTACGAGGATGAACATAGGCCATAAAAATTCCGGGTTTCTTTCATGGATTTCCCGGAAAAGCCAAAAAACCTAGGAAAAATGCAGTTTTTGGCCCATATCTCGGCAACCAGACCACTTAGCGACTTGAAACATGTACCAATCGATTCCTGCCATAATTTAGAACAATATTGCCGAAGAAAGTTTTCAAAAATATCCTTTCGTTCGGTCACAAAAAAAATTTTGAATTAATTAAAATTTGGACCGAATTAGTAGGCATTTTATGCAACCACACCACACGCGTCATCACGTTCAATAGCTGCGCCATCACGTTCAATGGCTGCGACGTCAATGGGCGCGCAATGGTTTTTAGTCATGTTACTCTATTGTAAATAAAACATGTAAAATACTGAAAAAAAATTTAATAAAAAACGTTTTAATAACTAACCATTGGTTTTACTAACCCTGCTCTTGATTTACGCTACGACAGATCTATTTTTAGATAACACAAGGAAATTGCGCTAAATTTGTCACTAGACTTTTTTTAATTACTTGTTTACCGATTTAATAAAAATATTCAAATTGGTTTGAAAAATACTAGCTGGCAAGTGTGAGAACACAGCCGAGAGAACTAGAAGTTGGTGACCTACTTAAAGTAAAGTTACCTTTTCAAACCTGACGATCTATAGGGTAAGTGAAATAGAGTTCACTTGTTTCTGTGACCTTGGCATGTGACCTACTTACAAGTCCTATAAGTCTACCCACTTAAATTGTAAAATGTAAATAATTTGTTACATAGTTTTATATGATATTTTATAATTGGTAGGGGCTAATAGAGGAAAGTCCAGAAACTAATGTAGTTTTTGTAAAGTATAACACAAACAAAGGAACAAGTTATTTTCATTTTTAGAAATTGTATTTTTTTCAAATTTTATTTTTAGAAATCATACATTTTCTCACTTTAAAAAAAAATTCATACATTTTCTCATACCACATTTGTTTTTAGAAATTATGCATTTTCTCATTTTATTTTTACATTAACTTTAAAACTTACACAGATGAAGCTTAAATAATACAATTCACACTACTTTCAAAATAAAATTGTAATCATGTGGTACTGTTCAATAAAAAAAGATTTCAAGTAACAAGATAGTTGTTTAAAAATAAAAAACTAGAATCCATAAGAAAGTTGCTAGACTAGAAAAACTACCTTAGTGCTGACACAATATTTCATACACAACAAAATTAAATATTTGATCTAAATATTATCTGTCAAATTTTTTTTTTTTACAAAATAACATGGTAAGCTCTTTAACTTTAAGTACTTCTGAAATCAAAGTGAGACAACAGAACTATAGAGGGGAGACAAATAGTTGTTTTTATACAGTGGACTGGAAAAGCTCTACAAAATTATACACAGAGATAAACAGGTAGCCATAAAATTGTTCAATCTTCGCCAACGTGACTTTCTTTAAAGCGTTTTTTAAGTAGTATGTGAATTCTATCTGAATGTTTTCATTAATAAATTAGCTTTTAAACTATGGACTGAAGTAAATATTTCCAAGTTGATTGGCCCAGCTTGTAAATATTTCTGGCCTGATGTAATCACAGTTGAAGACAAAATACAATCACATTGTGGGTTCACAGTTTTCAATTAGTAAAACATGTCTATTCATACAGTTAAAAATATACCACTGAGATATGTCAGGCAGATCTTTTCACTAATTAAACGCAAACATGTTAGCAGAATGACCCAAAACACACACACAACAAAAAAGTTAGCAAATGACCCGGAACACACACCCAACAAAAAAGTTAGCAAATGACCCGGAAGACACACCCAGGTAGTCAAATACACAGCTTGCTCTGTTGATAAATTAAAATCGGGTCATTTCATCAACAAGTCATTCCCAATCTTCACATCATCAAGGGACTTGGTTATACACAGCAAAAACAAAGGGAGGACTGAGCAAAAACTGTACTGGTGCAGCCATCATCTGGTGCTTCAGCTGCTGCCACTGTTCTACAGACCCTAGTCACCCACACCACAGCAGTCATGTGAGGAAACGTGTACAGTGGGTGTGTAATATCCTACACAGCATCTAATCATGACCTCAGCAGTCATGTGAGGAAACGTGTACAGTGGGTGTGTAATATCCTACACAGCATCTAATCATGACCTCAGCAGTCATGTGAGGAAAGTGTACAGTGGGTGTGTAATATCCTACACAGCATCTAATCATGACCTCAAACACTTGAGCCTTTAAAATAATACCAGCAAATAAAATATGACATCAACCAAAGCTGACAGCAATATCATCTGGTACACGTATGGAGATCTATGGTCAACAAATAGACCACACAAGCACATACTAGATATGTTGTCAAAACACATACTAGATATGTTGTCAAAACACATACTAGATATGTTGTCAAAACACATACTAGATATGTCAAAACACATACTAGATATGTCAAAACACATACTAGATATGTTGTCAAAACACATACTAGATATGTTGTCAAAACACATACTAGATATGTTGCCAAAAAACATACTAGATATGTTGTCAAAACACATACTAGATATGACATAATCTTAAATATGGCATAATCTCAAATACAAACTAGGTGTGATGTAATCTCAACCCTAATACATCCACATCTCACTACATCCACAGCTCACTACATCCACAGCTCACTACATCCACAGCTCACTACATCCACATCTCACTACATCCACAGCTCACTACATCCACAGCTCACTACATCCACCAATACAACCACAGCTCACTACATCCACAGCTCGCTACATCCACAGCTCACTACATCCACAGCTCACTACATCCACCAATACATCCACCAATACATCCACAGCTCACTAGATCCACAGCTCACTACATCCACAGCTCACTACATCCACCAATACAACCACAGCTCACTACATCCACAGCTCGCTACATCCACAGCTCACTACATCCACAGCTCACTACATCCACAGCTCACTACATCCACAGCTCACTACATCCACAGCTCACTACATCCACAGCTCACTACATCCACCAATACAACCACAGCTCACTACATCCACAGCTCGCTACATCCACAGCTCACTACATCCACAGCTCACTACATCCACCAATACATCCACCAATACATCCACAGCTCACTACATCCACAGCTCACTACATCCACAGCTCACTACATCCACCACTACATCCACAGCTCACTACATCCACCACTACATCCACAGCTCACAACATCCACAGCTCACTACATCCACAGCTCACTACATCCACAGCTCACTACATCCACAGCTCACTACATCCACCACTACATCCACCACTACATCCACAGCTCACTACATCCACAGCTCACTACATCCACCACTACATCCACAGCTCATTACATCCACCACTACATCCACAGCTCACTACATCCACAGCTCACTACATCCACAAATACATCCACCACTACATCCACAGCTCACTACATCCACAGCTCACTACATCCACAGCTCACTACATCCACAGCTCACTACATCCACCACTACATCCACCAATACATCCACCGCTCACAACATCCACAGCTCACTACATCCACAGCTCGCTACATCCACCACTCGCTACATCCACCACTACATCCACATCTCACTACATCCACAGCTCACTACATCCACAGCTCACTACATCCACAGCTCACTACATCCACAGCTCACTACATCCACAGCTCGCTACATCCACCACTCGCTACATCCACCACTACATCCACATCTCACTACATCCACAGCTCACTACATCCACATCTCACTACATCCACAGCTCACTACATCCACAGCTCACTACATCCACAGCTCGCTACATCCACATCTCACTACATCCACAGCTCACTACATCCACAGCTCACTACATCCACAGCTCACTACATCCACAGCTCACTACATCCACAGCTCACTACATCCACATCTCACTACATCCACAGCTCACTACATCCACCACTAGATCCACATCTCACTACATCCACCACTACATCCACAGCTCACTACATCCACAGCTCACTACATCCACCACCACATCCACAGCTCACTACATCCACCACTACATCCACAGCTCACTACATCCACAGCTCACTACATCCACAGCTCACTACATCCACCACTAGATCCACAGCTCACTACATCCACCACTACATCCACCACCACATCCACAGGACCACTACCTCCCTACCCCCAGTTAGAACAAGTCTACACTGTGATCTCACCACATAATCTCAAACATCTGACAAGCTGTCACTAAAGAAATATTTGACCAGTTAGAATTCATTTATCTCCCTTCTCATTAATATCACACAAATGAGCTTTTATAAATAATGAGTGAACTATTTTACACAAGTGGTAAAAACAATAGGTGTGGGCTAGTTGTTACAGTTGCCTTTACAACAAGATACAAACAAGTCCTGAGTTGGTTGAGTACACAAAAAATAACTATTTTGTTACATTTCTCAGGTTTACACTCAAAACTTGTATAGGGAATTAGTTGCTGGAATATGTAGGCCAATATAGGTAACAAAGATGGGACATAGAAAATTGTATTTCAACTCAGTGGCTTTGGATTTTATTTCTGATAAATGTCTTGTGTGCCTTAACAAAGAGAGACTACTCCCCACCCAGCCAGCTAGATCTATGTACCTGGAGACGTTAGCACAGTTTGTTCAACATACAAGTTCTCAATGTAAACAACAAATCCAAAGGCTCCACTAAAACAAGTTGCAGGTTAACTCAGGTATTTCTTGTAGAGCAGCACCCCAGCACAGGCCAGCAGACCAGCGCCAACTACAAGACTGACTTGTCTCTTGGAGCTGCCAAAGTATTCTCTGATGGCTTCCTGCACAGAGAAAAACATCTGACCATAACTATTCTCTTCTCAGATGAGAAAAACATCTGACCATAACTATTCTCTTCTCAGGTGAGAAAAACATCTGACCATAACTATTCTCTTCTCAGGTGAGAAAAACATCTGACCATAACTATTCTCTTCTCAGGTGAGAAAAACATCTGACCATAACTATTCTCTTCTCAGGTGAGAAAAACATCTGACCATAACTATTCTCTTCTCAGGTGAGAAAAACATCTGACCATAACTATTCTCTTCTCAGGTGAGAAAAACATCTGACCATAACTATTCTCTTCTCAGGTGAGAAAAACATCTGACCATAACTATTCTCTTCTCAGGTGAGAAAAACATCTGACCATAACTATTCTCTTCTCAGATGAGAAAAACATCTGACCATAACTATTCTCTTCTCAGGTGAGAAAAACATCTGACCATAACTATTCTCTTCTCAGGTGAGAAAAACATCTGACCATAACTATTCTCTTCTCAGGTGAGAAAAACATCTGACCATAACTATTCTCTTCTCAGGTGAGAAAAACATCTGACCATAACTATTCTCTTCTCAGGTGAGAAAAACATCTGACCATAACTATTCTCTTCTCAGGTGAGAAAAACATCTGACCATAACTATTCTCTTCTCATATTACATCCACCCCTGTCAATGATCCACCAAACAACTAAACCATCCACCCCTGTCAATGATCCACCAAACAACTAACCCATCCACCTTGTCAATGATCCACCAAACAACTTACCCATCCACCATTATCAATGATCCACCAAAGAACTTACCCATCCACCCCTGTCAATGATCCACCAAACAACTTACCCATCCACCATTATCAATGATCCACCAAAGAACTTATCCATCCACCCCTGTCAATGATCCACCTGACCATATGATCCACCAAAGAACTTACCTATCCACCCCTGTCAATGATCCACCAAACAACTTACCCATCCACCCCTGTCAATGATCCACCAAACAACTTACCCATCCACCCCTGTCAATGATCCACCAAAGAACTTACCTATCCACCTCTGTCAATGATCCACCAAACAACTTACCCATCCACCCCTGTCAATGATCCACCAAAGAACTTACCTATCCACCTCTGTCAATGATCCACCAAAGAACTTACCCATCCACCCCTGTCAATGATCCACCAAAGAACTTACCCATCCACCCCTGTCAATGATCCACCAAACAACTTACCCATCCACCCCTGTCAATGATCCACCTGACCACATGGTCCCTCATAAACTCCACTATCAGGTTGATGATTGCACGTACTAGAGGTATTCTGTCAAGGGCCTGGTGACAAAAGGTCAAAGGTCAACCATTTCTTCCATTTCAAAGTACCTTTCTACATCAACAGACATGCACTTGTAATATATTAAACAAGTTAATTAAAAAGTCTAGTGACAATTTTAGCGCAATTTCCTTATGTTATCTAAAAATAGCTCTGTCGTAGCGTAAATCAAGAGCAGGGTTAGTAAAACCATTGGTTAGTTATTAAAACGTTTTTTTTATTTAAAAAAAATTTCAGTATTTTACATGTTTTATTTACAATAGAGTTACATGACTAAAAATAATTGCGCGCCTAGCTACTGAACGTGATGACGAAGCCATAGAACGTGATGGTGCAGCTATTGAACGTGATGACGCGTGTGGTGTGGTTGGAAAAAATGCCAACTAATTCGGTCCAAATTTTAATTAATTCAAAAAATTTTTTGTGACCGAACGAAAGGATATTTTTGAAAACTTTCTTCGGCAATATTGTTCTAAATTATGGCAGGAATCGATTGGTACATGTTTCAAGTCGCTAAAAGGTCTGGTTGCCGAGATATGGGCCAAAAACTGCTTTTTTTCGAGGTTTTTTGGCTTTTCCAGGAAATCCATGAAAGAAACCCGGATTTTTTATAGCCTATGTTCATCCTCGTAACTTGCTTAACATAATTGCTTTTGGAACTAGTCATCGATATTGCTTCGTTGAGGAGGAGATACGACTTAAAGCTGCGGACACACATCCATCCATCCATCCATCCATTCATACATTCATACATCCAGAAATGACGGGTTAATAAACGCAATTCTCCAGAATGGAAATTGCGCTAAAAAATAAGAACTATATGTGTATATATATATATATATATATATATATATATATATATATATATATATATATATATATATATATATATATATATATATATATATATATATATATATATATATATATATATATATATATATATATATATATATATATATATATATGAACAGACATGCACATAAAAGTCCTCTATGTTTACTTCTATCTTTTCGTTTGCGGATAAGCTTGGGGTATCATAATTGTTCACTTAATTGAATCAGGTGGGTCTGCCGGCTCCCTGGCAGGGTTAGATTTGTCACCCTGGGCTAACCTGTGAGCGCTGTGGTGCATAATTTTGTTTTAAACAGTGTGATAGACTATGGATAAGAAAGGTTACTATAGACTTTAACTGAATAGAATCCGGGCAGCCTCCAGTGCCCAAACTGGGTGTTATTTGGCACCCCAAACCTTCCCGTGTTAGCTATGGTGCTTACATTCATTTAAGTGAGTGCAAAAGACTATGAATAAGTTGGGGTACTATAGTCGTTATCTAAGTTGACGGCGCCCCAGCATGGTGCGATTTGGCGCCCCAGGTTCGACTGTGAGCACTTTGTGTTTATGTTTGTGTTTCTTTGTGTTTGGGTTAGTTTGCAATTGTGGTTGTGTTTGCATTTTATTTGTTTTTGTTTGCTTTTTTGTTTGTGTTTTCTTTGTGTTTGTGTTTGGCTTTGTGTTTTTGTATGTGCTTTTGTTTGTATTTGCATTTGTGTTATGTTTGCGTATTTTGGTGCGTTTTGGTTTTGGTTGGTTGTGGTTTGGGTGGGCAATGCTGGGTATATGCTGATTACGAAACACACAAGCCATGGTCCTTAACAGATAGGTTTTTTACAGAGGCCAGTGCAGGGCCTGGCCGGGACGGCAAGTATATACATATACAAATATATACCTACATATACATATATACATATACAAATATATACCTACATATACATATATATATATATATATATATATATATATATACATATATATACTAGCTGTTGGTACCCATTACACCTGAATTATAGGCCTACGAGCCGGCCCGCGGCATAACATACGCCGCTATTTGGTTGTTTCTAATTTTCAATAATTCATAATTTGTAAATTCGGCAGTACTAACGCTGACACTGAAAATATTTCTTTAAAACACTATAAGTAGCTCGTTAAGGACCATAACCCCCCCCCCTTCCTCCCCCCCCCCTACCTTTAAAATCGTTGGCTCTGCTTGTAAACATTTAGAGTGAACACAGCTCACTAAAACCATGTAGGGGTGGGGAGGTAGGGAGAGCGTTTGCAGCTTGTTTTCTAACGGCTCGAAGAAGAGAATTATATATATAGATATATTTTAATGTTATACTTGTTTGAGAAAAATATTTTATAAAATAGTTATTGGTCAAAACTCAATGTTCTTTAAGTTTAGTACACGTCGAACAATATTAGTGACAAAGCAGAGAAATAACTAAATAGCTAAAAATCTTACACATCATACTCATCCAACTTAGACAGATACATCTTACACATCCAACTTCTAAAAAATGCTCACAAGGGGCATTCACTCGCCTAAAATGAACAAGTTAAAAACTAAGGACCTGCTGGTAAAAGCTCACCTTGATACAAACTTTGTAAGCAAAATAAAACAAAGCAACAACTCTCCCCCAGTTGAAGATCCCATCTTGAAATATGTTGGCTGCCACGTTCAGCAGTGTCTGTCTTTCAGCTTCAGGGGGGACCCGAGACACAAGGCTGAAATGTGAGACACAAGACTGAGACACAAGGCTGAAATGTGAGACACAAGACTAAGATGTGAGACACAAGACTACGATGTGAGACACAATACATGGTTCTCCTTGTTTCTTGAATAATTTATTTACAAATAGTTAACAAGTTAACGAGTGTAGTTATAAAAACAACATATTTAGTTGTTTACAAGGACGAGGTCAAGGCCAAAACTGAACTGAGTTATTTATAGTTATTATGCAACTGATTTAGACAAGTAGCTGGTGGTACGAAAATAGAATTTGACTTGTAAACTTAGAGACAAATGGACAATGTAATAATAGAGACTATGCTATATGTGGTACCAAAATAGAATAGTTTGACCTTGATAGACAAACCTTGTTGACAACACCGGATGGGTAGGTGAGATAGAAGATGTGAGCTCAAGGAAGGCAGACAACACCTGGGTGCTGGAGTGACGAGGAGAATGCATTGAACACAGAGACAAGTGTTAGTAGATCGTGAGAGACAGAGTGATATAGTGTGTGGACCTGTGACATTGGAGGTCTGTGAGATTCACATAATTATCTGAACTGTGAACATTCATGAAGGAATAAAGTGTAGTCTTGAATCTGCGGTCAGGGTGTGCTTCTTTACATGAGGTGGGTGTATCAGTGCCAAATGAGGTGTCCGCAGCCTAGTGGCGGGAATTTCTAGGCTGTGGATGAATACCTACAGACAGGTGGTTGTATTGCCCTGTCGCATCTGGGTGCCGTGAGAAAGGGTCGCGCAAGACCTAACGAAGAACGTCACATGTCTGCTGCCTTGGTCGCACACACATATACATATACATGATCTCACACACACATACACATATACATGATCTCACACACACATATACATATACATGGTTCCACGACAAATGATCTCACGACAAATGATCTCACGACAAATTATCTCAGGACAAATGATCTCAAGGAAAAATAATCTCTTGGACAAAACATACCAGGACAAAATATATCAGGACAAATGATATCATGGACAAATGATCTAAGACAAAATATCTTAAAATATCTCACAGCAAAATCTTACTAGTATATACGATGATTTTACTTGATTTGAACAATTTTTTTATTGACTGTCAAATGGTTTTGTTTACTTTTTTACACAAAATAATCATGAATAAAATGAATTTGTTAAACTTAACGAAACATCAAAAGATTCATTAAACTTAATCTTGATTTGAAAACGTAAAAATTAAAAAAATTTACTCCTTTAGCTTGAAAGGTATAACAAATGGTAAAATATAAAACAAAGTAACGGTAGCTATACAACATTAATGTTGTTCAAAACACGTAAAATATTTTTGAAACATGTGATTGGGTATTTCATAACGTTAAACCATTGTTTTTATTACATCATCAACACAAATATGATCACACCTCTCCAATACTATGTGATCATGTATTGTGTGAACTCTTGCTCAACTTGTTCTAACTTCACATTTCCAAATCTCTTTGCCTGCTGCTCCACTTATGGCTTTAAACTTATATTCAGAAATTCGCCAGAAACGAATTTTCTATACACTTTCTGTGATGTAACGAAAGAGGCCATAGCTGGGTAATCACCGCCAATACTGATTGGTTTGCATACACACTATGACAAGCGTTGCTCCGCTATGATCCCTGCCGTTTAAATAAGCATTTGTCACATGATCACTAAGGTGTGACCGACACATAAATATTGACTGTAGATGTTTGGTTTGTCACATGATCACTAAGGTGTGACCGACACATAAATATTGACTGTAGATGTTTGGTTTGTCACATGATCACTAAGGTGTGACCGACACATAAATATTGACTGTAGATGTTTGGTTTGTCACATGATCACTAAGGTGTGACCGACACATAAATATTGACTGTAGATGTTAGTTGCATTGTCCATGGAGGACGGATGTCCCATAAGGCATCTCTCTGTCATCAAAGCAGGCGGCCACCTTGATGCGAAGGTGTTCCGTTGTTGTTATTTCATCCCCTTTGACCTAGTTTCGTCTACCTGACGTGGTAGGATTGTCTCATGTTTGGTAATGTCACCTACGCTGTCCTCAAAAAATTTGTTTAATCTTCGCATAATATAATCGCAATTTTAAAATGTTTAGTGCAATATGACAAATTTATGCGGAAAACTTTTCTTAAAATTATTATATAGGCTTATAAACAATATTAAATATAATAAACAAAACTATATGACAGTCAATACAAAAAAAGTTCAAATCAACTAAAATCATTGTATATACTAATAAAATTTTGATGTGACATATTTTGTCCTGAAATCATTTGTCTTGAGATCATTTGTCCTGTCACCCATATATATACACCTTGTAATTTGCCTAATTTATGAGTTAATTTGAAATGGTATAAATAAATATAAATGTATCCCGAAGACTTACTCTTGCAATTTCTGGTCTTTATCTAAGTCATCACCAATGAAGCGAAGTGCCCTTCCAATTTCTCTGACATGTTCCATTGGTGGACCTAGAGAAGATATTCAGTGATTTACTGGATCAAGTACAACTATTTCAATGGAGAAAGTGATTTACTGGATCAAGTACAACTATTTCAATGGAGAAAGTGATTTACTGGATCAAGTACAACTATTTCAATGGAGAAAGTGATTTACTGGATCAAGTACAACTATTTCAATGGAGAAAGTGATTTACTGGATCAAGTACAACTATTTCAATAGAGAAAGTGATTTACTGGATCAAGTACAACTATTTCAATAGAGAAAGTGATTTACTGGATCAAGTACAACTATTTCAATAGAGAAAGTGATTTACTGGATCAAGTACAACTATTTCAATGGAGAAAGTGATTTACTGGATCAAGTACAACTATTTCAATAGAGAAAGTGATTTACTGGATCAAGTACAACTATTTCAATGGAGAAAGTGATTTACTGGATCGAGTACAACTATTTCAATAGAGAAAGTGATTTACTGGATCAAGTACAACTATTTCAATGGAGAAAGTGATTTACTGGATCAAGTACAACTATTTCAATGGAGAAAGTGATTTACTGGATCGAGTACAACTATTTCAATGGAGAAAGTGATTTACTGGATCAAGTACAACTATTTCAATGGAGAAAGTGAATTACTGGATCAAGTACAACTATTTCAATGGAGAAAGTGATTTACTGGATCGAGTACAACTATTTCAATGGAGAAAGTGATTTACTGGATCGAGTACAACTATTTCAATGGAGAAAGTGATTTACTGGATCAAGTACAACTATTTCAATGGAGAAAGTGAGTTACTGGATCAAGTACGACTATTTCAATAGAGAAATTGATATACTGGATCAAGTACAACTATTTCAATATAGAAAGTGATTTACTGGATCAAGTACAACTATTTCAATGGAGAAAGTGATTTACTGGATCAAGTACAACTATTTCAATGGAGAAAGTGATTTACTGGATCAAGTACAACTATTTCAATGGAGAAAGTGATTTACTGGATCAAGTACAACTATTTCAATGGAGAAAGTGATTTACTGGATCAAGTACAACTATTTCAATGGAGAAAGTGACTTTAAAGAACAGAAAAGTGGAGAATGAAAATATATGGCTTCATCCCACTTCAGCCAGAATCCCACCTCTAGAGCTGGCACCAAACACCCCCACCTCTAGAGCTGGCACCAAACACCCCCACCTCTACAGCTGGCACCAAACACCCCCACCTCTAGAGCTGGCACCAAACACCTCCACCTCTAGAGCTGGCACCAAACACCCCCACCTCTACACCAAACACCCCCACCTCTACACCACACAACCCCACCTCTAGAGCTGGCACCAAACACCCCCACCTCTAGAGCTGGCACCAAACACCCCCACAGCTGGCACCAAACACCCCCACCTCTAGGGCTGGCACCAAACACCCCCACCTCTAGAGCTGGCACCAAACACCCCCACCTCTACAGCTGGCACCAAACACCCCCACCTCTAGAGCTGGCACCAAACACCCCCACCTCTAGGGCTGGCACCAAACACCCCCACCTCTAGAGCTGGCACCAAACACCCCCACCTCTAGAGCTGGCACCAAACACCCCCACCTCTAGAGCTGGCACCAAACACCCCCACCTCTAGAGCTGGCACCAAACACCTCTAGAGCTGGCACCAAACACCCCCACCTCTAGGGCTGGCACCAAACACCTCTAGAGCTGGCACCAAACACCCCCACCTCTAGAGCTGGCACCAAACACCTCTAGAGCTGGCACCAAACACCCCCACCTCTAGGGCTGGCACCAAACACCTCTAGAGCTGGTATTACCATTACTTACCACTTGGAGTACCTGGCTCTTGAAGCTGCTCCATACCAGGCACATTATCAAGGCCATCCTTCTGCATCCTTTCATAGATAAAATTATTGAGCAGATAGCGCCCTTGGTTGGTCACATCGTCCTGGGTTAGCCTCTGCTGGTTTGGATTGGACATTCCATCTGAAATTTTGGTTTTCTGGATTTCATCCCACTCTTTGACAACAAATTATGTATGCTTTTTTTTGCTGTCATTTATAACATCAATGTAAATATCTTAGTGGTTAGCCCTACACGTTTGTGTAGAGCTGTGTCAATTTTAAGCCTTTCATAAAATAGTCTTATACCAGCTAGGTAGTACTTAACATCAAGTGTAGCAAAAACAATTAAAAAAAATTTAATTTTACAAAAAAATTTTTTTAAATGACATAAAATAATATACTATAAAATAAAGCAGGATTGATCTCCCCTAAACTTTCACGAATGTTCTTATATAAAACTACAGGGAATGCAAGTCTGGATATAGACATGATTTTGTAATCAATTTTTTATTACTTCGACTTTTGATAATAGAATAAAATCTGGTAGAAAAAATAACTGCTTACCAAGTGAACAGCGAACAATGTGTGTATAATAGTGCGGAATATTAGTACTTTATACATTCAAGGGGTTGTCCATAAATTATGTCACAGTCGTAGGGGGGAGGGGGGTCTGTAACTTTGTGACGGTGTGTGATGAGGGGGAGGAGTTCAGATGGTGTGACGTCACACTTTTGCATTATAAAAAAGCTATGTTAGAAAACGCATTATTTTAGACGTTATTAGAAAACTGTTTTAATAAATTGTAATAACAATTGATTAAAACACTCTATTTTGACAGAGTTCAGACAAGATTTTGGAAAAATATAGCTGTTTAAAAAAAACTCAACAATTTTAAGGGGAGTTGTAGGCTGAGGTGTGACGTCATTTTAGGGGGGGGGGGGTCTGGCTTTTTGTGACGACGTGTGACGGAGGTCAAATAAACTATGGTTTACTGTAACTTTAGTTAACGAAACTCAACAAACATTACCCGATAATTTCTGATGCTAAACTTAAGGTTTTACCAGTGAAATCTTAAAAAATAAAGCATGATATTTCGAGTCGTCCCTTTGAATCCCGGTCAGAATGTCCCCCCGTCGTGGCCTCAACCAACCGGCGGGCTCGTTGCATTGAGTTAAATATAAACTCAAAACAATAATATAAACAATCTTCTTTCAGCAGGTCAGGCTACATACCAGACACGCACAGTGGTGTGTGTCGTGCCTTAACCAAAATAAACTATCTCCCTTCATTATCATTAGATATATTTAATTAGTTAATTAATTCATTTGCTAATTTATAAAATTATGTATGATGCTATAGCAGTAGGTAAGTTACGGTAAGTAGGGCCTATAATTTTTTTAACTATGTATTTGTACTATAAAGAAACAGCTTCGTTGTTTCAATACCACCCTCTCCCCTTCTTGAACTCTAAACTTTTAACCCTGTTCGTAGAGATATTTCTACACGTAGAAAAAATGGCTTTTTCTGCCCTTTTTAGCTCCAAAAACGTGTCGCATGACGTCATCGTGTCATCAGCCGCCAACCAAAACACGGAGAAAGCGCGTGTTTGATTGGTTGGCGGCTGACACTATGAAATCCTCTAGGGACGAATCGAATGGTATACCAAAATAAAAAAATCTTACCACCAGAAAAAAATGTTCTTTGCTCTCTGCTTGTCATTTTGAGAATAACTAAAGTTAAAGACCCAGTCAACTTAAAGTTGTTGTTTATGGCTAGCTAGATCTAGTAGCTACTAAGCTAGGGCTAGAGTAAAGACTCCAAGAGTCTCAAGACTAGATACTCTGACTCTAGTCTAGAATTAGAATCAACTCTAGATTTTAGATTTAGATCTAGAATCTGAATCTAGATTAGATGTAAAATTATTTACAAAACTGTGACCTTGTGTTGAAGTTAGTGTATTGTTATAGTCACCCTTCTCTCTTCTAAATATGGCCTATGGAATATATAGATGTAGATCTAGATCTAGTGTTGTCTTGATCTAATTTAGAATCTATGAGTTAGACTGCCATATTCAGCCATATTGGGTTTGATAAGCATTGAAATTAGAAACAAAGGCAATATTGCCAGAAAAAAATACTGTAAATATGCCGGATAAAATCGTATTTTTAAAAAGGCCTTTCAGGTCTAATCAAAATTCGGTTTTAAATATTAAATTAGTTTTAAGACCGAAAATGAGCATGGAAAATGGATATAGATCTAGTGGTTACGTACAAGCCGTTCGCAAGTTTTTTTTATATAAGATATAGATCTATAGAGGCCCTATATAGGCATATATATAGGCCTAAATGAAATATCTCTATATCTCTATATGTATATATAATATGTAGGCCTATATATATATATATATATATTTATGTATATCGTCTATATATATAGAATTATTTAGAATGGATATATACAGATATATATATATATATATATATATATATATATATATATATATATATATATATATATATATATATATATATAGGCCTAAATGAAATATCTCTATATGTATATATAATATATGTAGGCCTATATATATATATATATTTATGTATATCGTCTATATATATAGAATTATTTAGAATGGATATATACAGATAGATAGATATCTATCTATCTATCTATCTATATATATATATATATATATATATATATATATATATATATATATAGGGGCATCGTTAGATCGGGTGTCACCTGGTGTGGCACCTCATGGTGTCACCCCCCCCCCACATGAAAAAACTGTATATATACATGATATATATATATATATATTCATAGGGAGGCTTGTTAATTATAAGTAAAACAATTTTTCCTGCTAAATTAAGAAATAGTATATACTACTTATAACTGTATCAGATTATTAACTGTGCAGTTTGCCATAAAACAGGTGTTTTTTTTAATTGAAAAAAAAATGCTTTGTTGGGTACGTTTAGTAACTGATAATCATTGTGTAGAATGTTGGATCGGATGAAAAACCTATTTGTTGCTTATGGTCAATTGCTTGTCCCTCATCAAGATTCACTGTCAACTCTAGGTTCACAAAATAATTTGCCTGTTAAAGTGTTGTCTGCTTTTGTAAATCTTTAATTAAATATACAGATAGTTAATTAGATCTTCTGTTAATATGAATGTATCCCAAAATCACAGCATTATAAGTGAGTCAAAATAGATGTAAGATTTTACATACAAACACTGTGGACTAAAAGAGCTTGTAAAAGGGAAAAGAAATAAGACTAACAAATATCACTCAATCATTATTTTACTTGACTGAAAAAAGCAAATGACAAACCAAATGTCACATGGGATATATATTTACATATATTACATTGGGAACATTTTATGATACAACTGTGAAAGGGGCATTCATGTTTATAATATTTGCCAATATCTTCTAGATTGTTCAATTTGATACATTTACCAACATTCCTATAGACACTACTGACATACATGTAGACATTTACCAACATAAGTTCAGACAAACTAGTTAGGCCTATAATATCATACATTTATTTACATTAGTTATGTTTAAGTACCAAACAATTTCACATGATTCAGCATTCAATAGTTGCTACATTGACCATGTACTATGACAAGAAGTTATGGACCTGCCTGTCTGAAATAGTTTAAAAATATTAAGTGCTTGTAGTGGAAAAGTTAAATTTACCTTTAAAAACAATCAAATATGAGCCCAGTATCAAACCTTTGTTAAGGATTACTGAAGATCTGTAAAGATATTTTTACCTCACCTGGAGAGGTTGTTAAGGATTACTGAAGATCTGTAAAGATATTTTTACCTCACCTGGAGCTATTCAATAGGAATACTATATATTATATGCATGGCCAAAACATGACTTTTTACACAATATCATTTTTGGAAGCATTTGTGTAATCATCACAGCTCAGCTATATTTACATAGGAAGAAACTGAACAGGCTAGAGTCAAGAAAACTAATTATGAAATAAAAACAAGTAGCAAAAAGATAGAAATCAATTTTGTATTAGCAATGCTGAGAACTTAAAGTGAAAGACTGTACTTCAAAGCAATAAAATAATGACATCAACAAAATGAAACAAATACTCTTGGTTAAAAACCATGTGCTGCCGTCAAACATTTGACTAGCTATCTACATATAAGGAGCATTAAGATATCTACAGTACAAAAAGTTAACCTGTCATCTAAACTGCCTACAAACTAAATCTACATGAAAATACTTGATGCTAATGTAGAAATGAGTTGAACAAATAGGTAACAAGGGTCAACAAAAGGGTGATGCTGTTGGATCTATTGCTTTAAATAAATCTTTAACTTTTAATTCTGGCTCTGCCTCAGGTATATCAAAGTCTTGAAGTGTATCTGGTAGTGTGGGACTGGGGGCATTTCTACTTTTGTCTTCTTTAACTGACAATTTGGGACGATTGTAACTGTTATAAGTTTTCCCCTCTCCTGCCTCATCATTGCTGCCGTGAGCTTCCTCACCCAGTGGTGAGCTATAGTCCATGCTGCTCTTCCTTTGTCCAGTCAAGCGTTTCACTCTTTTAAATCGAGGGTCATTACGATAGTCAAATTTTCGAGATTGTTTTTGTGTATCTGTTTCAGCTTCCTGCATAGTAGATGGGGACAAGCGCTCATCAATATCTTGTTTCTGCCAGTTTTGCTTTAGCTCTGGTCCTTCAAGCTGTGCTGTTCCCCAGCTTGAAGGGGGGATGTCACTGGGAGAGGACCCAGGTTTCTGATCACAAGTTGCTGAATCAGAGTGTGGAGAGCCTGACCTTGCCAGATCACTCAAGTTTTTTTTGGGCTCCCATGAATCCAACAACTTATTTTTTAACCTGGGATCATTCCCAACCCGTGGCTCATTTCTTACCAGTCGAGGATCAAGACTGGATTTTAAGCGTGGATCAACTGTCTCATTTGGTGTGATGGCTGGTGCAGCTGTTGATGCAGGCAGAGTGTTGTGGGGAGCACCAAGCCTTAGGTTGGCATTAGGACCCATTTGATTCAGAGGTCCAGCCATCACATTTAAATTGCTGTGGATTAAGCTGTTCATACTGCCAGGGCCTGGCATAGGTCTCACAGTACTCATCATCTGGCCAATCACTGGGTTCACACACATCATAGGGCCTCTCATTGATATGTTCATTTGACCCCCCATCTGGTTATTCAACGGACCTCCTATAAGGTTATTCATGGGTCCACCCATTTGATTATTCATGGGTCCACCCATTTGATTATTCATGGGTCCACCCATTTGATTATTCATGGGTCCACCCATTTGATTATTCATGGGGCCACCCATTTGATTATTCATGGGTCCACCCATTTGATTATTCATGGGTCCACCCATTTGATTATTCATGGGTCCACCCATTTGATTATTCATGGGTCCACCCATTTGATTATTCATGGGACCACCCATTTGATTATTCATAGGGCCTCCCATTTGCATAGCAATGCCCATGTTAGATGTAACCATCATTCCTATGGAGCCATGCATAAAGTTAGCAGAATCCTGACTATTTTGCCGATGAATGGCCTGCCTGGCAAGTCTAGGGTCAACAGGCCTTAACTTGTGTAACCTGGGATCAGCAGGCTTGCTGCCATCTCCTCTTCCACTGTTAGGAGAGTCACCAGGCTTGGTGACCCTAGGGTCACTTGTAGCTTTCTTTAGTCGAGGGTCAGCAGGTTTTTGTGCTATGTCAGTACTATTGCGACGAGGCTGTTCTTGCAATTGTTTTTCTAAGTGCTGTAAATGCCACTTGACCCTGGGATCATTTTTAAACACTGGATCTGAAGCATTCACCTCATTTGGGAGACGAGTGTATGGTTTAGGGAAGTCTATGGAGATTTTCACCACACTGTAAATAAGTGGTTTTGATGGATGAGCACTGACCACTGGGGGGTCGGCAGATTTGTGAGTAGGGTTTAAGTCAGATATTGATAGCTGGCGAACACTTGGTGGAGAGTTAGGCTGTGGTGATGCTGGGGAAACTGCTATGGTGGTTTGACGTTGTGTTGGCTCAGACAGCACAGAACTAGAAAAAAAGGAGATAAAAAAAAAAACATTACCACCAAGTTGTAGTTAAATTTTATGTCACATTACAATCACAAGGCAAGGGGAATCATCCTTTTCTGATATCCCATTATATATGTAAATATTTTAGAAATCTTTTTGCTAATTTAAATTAGAATCTAGAGTGTGTTGAGAATAAGCTTTAAAAAATCATTAAGGTTAGAGCTTCTGTTTATTTTAGTGACTTTCATTTCCAAATAATGATCAGCTGCAGGGGATGTATGGGAAATTTTAAAGTCTGTAGTTGTAAGCAGTATTAAAATTCATTCAGTCATAATGCAGCTTTGCTCCCAGCTTGCTTGACAAACAACAATTTTCAACCTTATTCTTAACACTGAACACAAAAATAGTAAGATTAAATAGGAAAAATCTCATCACTGACCTAAGGTGCGTTTAACATTGACCTAAGGTGTGGCTATCTGTGATCTACGGCATGGCTATAATTGTCCCATCATGTTGCTATCAGGCCTAAAATTGCCAAAAAATTTACCTGAGTGAACTTGTATCTGAGGTTGTTGCAGTCGTGCTGTGATTTTTTATTGCATTTATCATTTGCATGATGTTGAAGGCTGATGCTGTGGCTGGTGTCTCTGGATTTGGGGGTGGCTGAGGTGTTGAAGTTGATCCACTCAGGGTCTGAAACAACCGTTGGGGAGATCATGTAACAGAATATTGATGACCATGATACTACAGAATAGTCATCACCTATCCCCGTGTTTTGCTGCTATCACATAAGAAAGGCTGGCGCAATATTTAAAGAGGAATTTATCAATGCATTACTGATTGTGTATTTTAGACGACAGATCTCACTATCTGAGCTTCTTAATGAATCATGCAAAAACAATCGCACATTGCATCGTTTGACAGATTTTTCCATGTGTTACTGATGGCTACTTTTAGAAATGTTACTTGTCTAAAAAATGTATTACCTATCGCATTTTTTTTTTTGCATGACCACGTTTTCTAAAACTGAGTTATTTAAATGTAAAAAAGAAGGCACTGCATTTTTTTTATCTAAGTTGTTGTGGTACGAGTTTGTCCACACTACTGCCCAGACACCCCAGGGCGTGCTGGATGAAAACCTTGAGTTTGCATTAATCACCTTCCATAACTGAGGTAGAACTGCCCAGGTGTGAAGGCCGTCGCTGGCCACTCTAGGGAGATACCAGTTAAACTGCGGCAGGTGAGTTGTGTAGGGCCCCTGGTTCCGTTCAGTTATGGAATGTAATGTACCACCTTGTCCCTACTATTGCAGGGTGCTCTTTAAAACTTATATCTGACTTTAATTTTAATATACTGTGTATATAGAAAAAAAAATCGCACCCTTCCGGGATGCCGCCTACTAAGAAATATTGATATTTTTTTTTGTAGAAACCTTCCCAGAAGTATTATCAACTCATGGCACTCTGATGAACAGTGTAGTAATGCATAAAAGACAAACCCATAAACAGACATACTTACAGTTTTAAATATATAGACTAGCGAGACTATGATACTACAGAGTATTGATGACTCCACCCCAAGACCTTAGTTCTCACCTCTTGATTTAACTTCTTTAGGACATCAGTCAGTTTAGGTTTCTGGTCAGATTCTCCATCTTCATCACTAGAGTACCAGTCATCTTCCTCAACTGTTTAACAGAATCAAAGTCACACAATTAGGCATCTTCATCTTTGTTTTTTAATTACTAAAAAGGATTTCCTCCAACACAATAAGTAAAGCATGTCAACATGCCTTAGTTCACCAAAGAACATCTGCAAGGCAGCAGTTGATTTATTTTAGAGTTCTCTCTACTTGATGAGTTGCTTAATAGGCTCATTTATCAGGGGATTCAACTCAAGTTAGTGATCACATGCACTCCCAACCGTAATTTGATATCAATAAGCAAGATAATTAAAACTATTTTCTTGCATTGTTATAAATAACAAGAAAAATACAACTTTAATACAAGCTACCTTTTATCTCTGCCTCTGTAGCTTTAATTGCTTCTTGTCTTTCTCTTTCTTTTTCCCTTAACAACTGCTGCTGTTGAATCCTTTTGAAAAGTTCCCTCTGTTTTTTAGGGAGGTGAGTTGGAACTTCAATGTTTTCCAGTTCAATATCTCCTTTCTGTTGACTTTTTTCATCTTTTACTTCTGTATAACCAACAAAAAACATACATATATGAATAAACAGTCAATTACCCAAGAGTTAGATATTTTTTAATGTGCACCCAAAAAACAGGTGACAAATTTTTTTATTTACCTAATTTGCTTTGAGAATCAGAATTTTCTGGACTCAACTCAGGTGCCTCTCTCTTAATGTCTAAATCCACTTGCATAGTTTCCTCCTCTTCCTCCTCTTCATCTTCCTTTTCTATTTGTTCCTTGATCTGGCGCCTAATTTTATCAAGCTCTGAAAGATCCTGGCTAGTTTCTTCCATCTCTTCAATACTAGGTTTAATTCTATAATCCACATCCATAAGTCCTACCTCTTGCCCCATGTTTGGCTGAGAAACACCTACAACAGAAGTACTATTTAAAGTGTTCACATTGGGATTTACAGTGGGATCCACAAATCCCCCATTATTTAACTGATTAAGAGATGGGTTAACATTTGAACTCATCATTTGCTGTCCCATGATATTGTTTGATTGCATCATAGAAGACACATTTCCTTGTCGATTTATTGCCATGTTACTGGGGCCCATGTTCATGCCATTATTATTTCCAGTATGCATGTTAGGTCCCATGTTCATGTTATTAGTACCCATGTTCATGTTGTTAGGTCCCATATTCATGTTGTTAGGTCCCATGTTCATATTGTTAGGTCCCATGTTCATGCCAATATTACTCCCAGTATTCATGTTAGGTCCCATATTCATGTTGTTAGGGCCCATGTTCATGTTATTAGGTCCCATATTCATGTTGTTAGGGCCCATGTTCATGTTATTGGGTCCCATGTTCATGCCATTATTACTTCCAGTATTCATGTTGTTAGGTCCCATGCTCATGTTAGGTCTGACATTTGGACCCCCAATACTGTTTGGTCCACCAGGTCCCTTCTGCATGGCTGCCTCCAACATAGCCCCCAGCATGTTTAGAACAGGTAGATTACCAGCAGCTTGGTTGGTCACCTGTGCTGGCCCCATGAACTGGACAGGTGCTCCACCAACAGCTCTAGTTTGCTGACTCATCATGTTCGGCCTATTTGTTGCCATCATATTGTTTCTCAATGGAGGTTGGAGCAGTCCCCCCATGTTGGTCTGGTTGTTTATATTATTTTGGTTTGAATGTGCTCCAGTGTTGGTCATCATGTTCATTGAGGAGTTATTTATAGATCCTCCACTGCTGCCTGCTCCAGGGCTTGGTGAAATGTTGGTTTCATTGTAAAATCCTGATGGCCTAGAGAAAAGAGAGTACAAGGATGTCATTCAACTCATCTGCTACACTAAGCTAAGGGAAGAAGCTTCCAACAAAACAAACTTCTCTTTGAAATTGTTTTAAAGTAAATCCATCATTATTTAATTATTAAAAAGGCACAAAATATACTTATTAAATAAAGAAATGTAATATCTCAAAGAAAATATATAATTTAATGTTTTTTCTAATAGTATTTATCATTTCGTGTGAATTTTGTTTGATACAGCTGCGGAGTAAAAGTAAAGTTTCCATTTCAAACCTGACAGTCTATGGGGCAAGTGAAGTAGAGTTCACTATTTCTGTGACCTCGGCATATGAAGAGATAGTGTGGTCAGCACTATGCCCAGCCGCCTTTACTCTCCCTAACGTGAGTTAGGTACCCATCAGAGTTGGGTGGACTCAGGGAGGGTCTACTAACTTGTACTCGGATTCGAACTCGAGACATACGTGTTAGTAGTCCAGCTCTCTACCGCTATACCACTCCGTCCCATACAGCTGCGGAGTGCCTCAGTATTATTTCTAATATTTTAAAAAATTACGACTTTACAATAGATTCTGATTGCTAATTTTAATAGCTTAAATATCTAACATAATATAGAATCTATTAAACTATCTTATTCTTTAAAACAAAATTGAAAACTATGAAAATGCAGATACAACTGTTTATGAGAAGACAAGTGTAAAAATGTGTCCCTAACTCAACTTATTAAAATTAGTATTAAATAAAATACTTAAAAAAAAACTTTTTAAAAAACCACGTTTTTCTTGTGGACTAAAAAGTAGAAAATAAATTTTTCTTCCGACCCTAGGGGATCTACCAATGACTGCTTGTAGATTTTGTGCTTCATCGAGCTGTGCAGGTTCTTGTGATGACTGTTCATACATTTGATGACAAAAAACGTGGGTACGTTCACCATCAAATTTCCAAAATTCGTGTGTTGTGTGCTTTTCGCTTTAATCATAAATCTGCCCGACCCACGTTTTTTTGTCATCAAATGTATGAACAGTCATCACAAGAACCTGCATAGCTCGAGGAAGCACAAAATCTACGAGCAGTCATTGGTAGATCCCCTAGGGTTGGAAGAAAAATTTATTTTCTACTTTTTAGTCCACAAGAAAAATGTGGTTTTTTAAAAAGTTTTTTTTTAAGTATTTTATTTTCTCCTTTTTAGTCCACATGAAAAACGTGGTTTTTAAAAAGTTTTTTATATAGTTTATTTTCTACTTTATCTAATGACTTGATTAAGTATGACTTGACTAAGTGTTTTTAAATACATAAAAATTTAGAGGATTTTTTATCAAAATAAAAAGGATCAAAAGGTTTTTGAATGCTTTTAGGTAGTTGGCCAACCGTCCATCCCTCCTCGAACAGATTAACTGTCGATTCTCCACCCACCTTAAGCATTACACTGTAAAACATTCTAAAAAAAACGTGGTAATAAAAAAAAGAATTGCACACCAAGTGAAAAGTTTCTCTTTCAAACCTGACGGTCTATGGGGCAAGTGAAGTAAAGTTCACTTGTTTCTGTGACCTCGGCATATGAAGAGATAGTGTGGTCAGCACTATGCCCAGCCGCCTTTACTTTCCCTAACAGGAGTTAGGTACCCATCAGAGTTGGGTGGACTCAGGGACGGTCTACTGACTTGAACTCGGATTCGAACTCAAGACTAACGGGTTAGCAGTCCAGCTCTCTACCGCTAGACCACTCCGTCCCACACCAAGTGAACGCCTAATAAAATGTGTATAAAAGTGCGGGATATTAATAGTACTTTATAAATTTTCATGCGTTTTTGAGAAATCATGTCCTCAATTTTAGGGTCCTATGGGCGTAATTTAATTAAGCTAATTTAGGTCTCTAATTGCTAGTTTTTATGATTGCATCTGAAATTGTTAGGCGAAAATAGCCTGCATGCCGAATTTCAGATCTCTAGAGCAATCAGAAGTGGGCTAATTTTCGTTGTAAATTTTAACAACAAACAAACAAACCAAAGCTGAGTTAAGAAAAACGTGTTAATAAAAACAAAAAAGCTAGAAACTTCCACTATTTGGCAAAAAATTCTTGTACTATATTTAGTAAGCATAAATAACGTAGAAGCACTTTTTGCATGAAAAAACAGCATCCTGTCGCATTAGAAAAAAAAATGAGTTAAGCTAATAAATATAAAGAAGTGCGTGTTTCAGTGTCAATGCATAACTATGTAAGCTATTATATGGACTGTTGTGTAGCTTAAATGTTGATGTACCAACAGCAGTTTGTACCTCACAGCTTGTGGGGATGGTTTAGGTGACTGGCCAGGGGGACGAACTTCTATTTCAAAGAGAGATGGGATCTTCTTAGCATTAAAGCGTGGTGGTGATCCTAGAAAAATAAATTAAAAGGGTTAAAAACATAAAGCAACATTGTTTGAGAACTTTCTACAAAATGAGAAATTACAGCTCACCAAGTAGACTGGGTCTACTTCGACCTTCATAATCCCTGCTCCTATAATCATAGTCATAGTCAGGATCTTCCATATCAATGATCTATAACAAAAATTAAATTTAATCAATACAAAACTAGAAAAAGAAAAACATGTAAATGCTGTAGTGTTCCTTGGTAATCTAAATAAAAGAAACCTGACTATGGGGAGTAACTTACATCTTCTGCAGCTACCCTCATCTCCAAAGCACGACGAGTTTCTTCAGTCAAGGGATCATGTGAAAACTTGCATCTATCTCCTGAGTAACATTTGGCACCTGTGTGGTAATACTTGCATGGAAAATCTTGTACTTCTGGTTAAGTTTAAACACATTAAAATATTTCCCTTTTTATTTCCTACATTATTGTACAATCTAAATAGTAAGTAACACAGAAAACCCAGCATCAAAGGATATCATGCATAAATACACATCTTTCTTTGTGGCAGCCTTTAACTGTCAAGTGGTATTTGCAAACTTCCATTTTTCTTGGCTTCTCTACATCATGGTTAAAGGGGCAACCACTTCCCTAAATAAAAGTAAAAGATCTCTTTATTCAGGAGTTATTTTAATCTATGCAAGAATCATCAAAAACTACTTTAAAAAAACTACATTACATATGCTGAACAAGTTATGAACCTAAAAGAGATTTGCTGTCAATGAATGGACTCCAAATTAGACAAAGAAAAAGCAATTAGAAAAAATAAGATACATAAATCAATACACCATTTTTAAACAAAAGGTATAATTTTGAGAAATTAAAAAAATAAATTAAATATTAACTGCAGTAAATTTAAACTTCTAACTTACATTTACTACATGACAACAAAACTGTTGAACGAATGAGTCTCAAAATTAGTTCTCTTTTAATATAATCAAGTTATTTAAATAAAGTTAAATGAATGATAGCTATTGGGAATTTTAAACAGCATAGTTAAATATTTTAAAAGGTTTTAAGGTAGATTACCTGAACTAAGCTAGAAAGAATGTTTCTTTAAAGTCAACTAAAAATTACCTTAGCACATTTGCCTTCCATATAAAATTTACAGACTGGTCTATCTGACATAGCCATGTCAACAAGCGCTTTCTTTTTGGGGGGACCATCAAGTTTGCTATCTTGGTTCCGACTTCTTTTTCGGTCAGAGCGGTCTGAGCGTTCGTGATTTCTCTCACGCTTTTTCTTTTTAGTACTTGTTTTGTAATTGAATACACCCTGAGGATATAAACAATTCAATGCATAAAACAATTCAATGTAACTAGCAAGCAGGACATATTCACAAACTTTTGTACAAATGTGTGCCATTTAATAAAAACATTTTAAATAAAATATCACCTCCTTTTCATCAGCTGCAACTGAGGCATCAATATAACCATCGGTTCCCACTTTGGACAAAGTAGATCTGAAATGGGATATTTTTACATCGTGAAAAAAGAATTGTTAAACCTGCATTTAAAAGATGTTAAAAGTGTAAAAACCTTAATAATAACAAGCTATTAAATGATCCTAAATGCAACATTGCTTCATTAGAAGTGGGTCACATTTGAACTTGACAACAAACCCACTAATCGACAGACTTTGTGAACTAAATAAAAGCCTGAATAATTAATAAGCATAATTATGTAGTTATAATATAAATAAATATGATGAATAAGTTGAACGACGCTTACTCTTCATCTGAATAATCTGAATCAGATGGGCTATCATACAATCCTGGTGGACTCTGGTAGCTTTTGTTACGGGAATGTCTTGGAGACTTATGAAATGGTGAGGCTTTGGATTTTGGACCTTGATATCCAGAGCCCCATGCTGGAGCTGGGCTATTCTGATTATCTGTTTTTTCTGCCTCTGTCTGCTTTTTTCTTTTCCTCTGCAATAATGAATTAGATTTGTAAACAGATTTCTTTTAAAGAAAATTCATTTTTAACTTATCCATTTCCCATTTTTATACAACATGTTTCTTACAAAAAAAAAAAATAAACATTTGAAATGACAACAAAGCCTTTGATGTAATCCAAGCCAAAATTCTACTGAGAGTTCTGAAAACTGCTTGTTGGCATATTCTTTTAGTTTTTGGTACTTTTTTGAAGTCATTAGTAACTTTGACCTCAACTTGTCTAGCTTATTCATTCACAGACCACTGGGCAAAAATGCATTTTTTCACCTATTTATTTAATAGAAGAATTACACATGTACCTTATCTTCTGATTCACGTTTTCGTTTTTCTTTAACATTTGTTTTCTTCCTTTCATGTTTATCTGATTTACGTTCATCCTGAACTGACTTCGATGCCACTGAAATAAAAACATGGTTGCAGATAGGTGGTTTTTATCTTTTGAGATACTAGAATGAAGTAGATATGTAAAAATTAATTTTATCACTGCCACTCGACTTAAAGAAATGAGGGTAGACCTACTTTTTGACAAGCTGAGACCCAAATTTCTAAATGGAATATTTAACCCTTAAGGTTTAGTTGGGACTAGGATTCAAGATATATCACTACAGTTTAAATTTATTTTAGCATGACTTAATACCCTTTCTCTTTACCAAAAATATTCTAACCCTTTCAGTTGATTAGGTTACATGTATAATGGTTGCAAAATAATTAACACTGCCGTACTTTAATCTACTTTTAAACTCGTACACCATCCCACCCAAATCTTGCTTATCTTCTTTGAATCGTGTTGTATTTAGGTGGAAGGATAGACTCTAACAATAGACAATAATCAATGATAGAAAGGCTGCTTTGTGGAGGGTGAAAATGTATGGATATGTAGCTGAAAATTTAGTTTACAGGACACAGGTAAGGAATTGGTGTTTCTTGGTTATCTGGAGGGAAAGGGGTGGAGGGAGGGAACTGAATGGAAGGGGGAGGGGGCTCTTCCCATAATTTTATATTTTAATGGTTCAATAATGGCTTGCTTTCTGCCATATTTCAAACAGCATACCTTCCGATTCAACTCTGCTTGTATGACTATCCTTTTCTTCTCCTTTAAGTTCTTCATCATCATCATCATCAAGTTCTCCATCTTCTAAGATTTCTCCATCTTCAGCTTCTCTTATTTCTTCCACAGTTTCCATAAGAGTGACTCTGTGGGAATCTCTTTTTCTTTTCTTTTGAGTTGTATTTTGAGGAGCCAATGGATCTTCTTGAGATTCATTTAGCTCCCCCTCATCAGAAATGTCTGCAGAAGTATGTTTTGAATTCTTTCCCTGTGAATGACTTACACGATCATTTCTATCTTGACGCTTTCTAGGGGATGAGTGTGAATTCTTCTCATTCAATTGCTCTGTGTGTGAGTCTCCTGCACTACCCGAGCGTCTTCTAGAAGAATTAGTGACACCTCGATTGTCTTCCTCTGAGCCTTCATCGGCGTCACTATGGCCACTAGAACGTCGATGTCGGTAATCGCGATGACTGCTACCACCATGACGATGGTGGTGGTGATGTCGTCGATCTGAACTATTTCGGTGTTTTTTATGCTCCCCCGCATCCCTTTCACGGTTAGGTGGGGATTCTGTAGAAGACCTGTGCTTCCCTGATTTGACGCCTTCGGTTAACTGACCCTCTTCGTCTCCCTCTACATCGTCATCTTCTAATCGCCCCATGGGAGGTTTAGAACCATCATAACCAGGAAGTTCCCCGTCCTGTGGTAAACACTTGTTTTCTTCAGCCATACACTGACCACCCACTCTATCCAGTTATACTTAGCGACCTGCAGACAAATAATTATTTCACCTTTTAATTATCATTGAAGGCAGTCGTCCTTATAAATATTAGCATATTAGTATATCGGTATTAAAAATGCTTATCGAGATGTGGGGTTGCATTTGTTTAGTTCATCGTGCAGAATCGATTGTCAAAGGCTAGCCAATACGTTAGGCTAATCAAAAAGCCACGCACATGACGTAAAACAAAGCTGTATACATTATGGCCTTAGTCATTTTATTGTTTGGCTTTTATTGTCCTACTGCACATTTGCTAATTTATAATTCAAACCTAAATTTAGAATGTGTTCAAAAGATAGTCACTGATTAGTAAGCGTCTGAACATATTGAGCCGTAAAGTATGAGTATATATAGATCTATATATAATTCTGGAATAGTGTGACGGCGAGACTAAGTAATCTGCAGGTGAAAAAAAAATATTGGAATAGAAAACATCACAACACCCAAGGCCTAACGCACGCCTATTCTATTAAAATGTTCACTTATATGCACAGACTAAGCATGCAAAACGCTTCCTATTACCTTACCTTCATCTCGTATTAATAAGGTTTGATTTTAACGAACTAAAATTAACGGTTGTTTTGATTCAACGGACTTAAAACGTGATTTATATGTAGGCCTATAGAGTATAGATCTACATATTTTTTAAAGCTACGGTAACAAAATATTGTTAGGGCTTAGACAGACGCAGGCCTGCCATGTAATTATTGCTTGATGTGTTGACACATGTCGTGAATTAATTCAGACACTATAATGAGAGAATAAAACATGACTAAAATTAACGAAGATAGAGCTAGAATCATTCTAGACTAGTAGTGTGCAGTTTGAGTTAACAGACCTAAAGAACTGAGTACAAGTTTAAATTAAGAATTTGTTTCATTGTTTGCGTTCACATGGAAAACTGTCCTTGCTTGTCAGTAAATCAGTAACCTCAAGAAAGCTCTCGACGTCTAGGCTTAGAAAAGCAGTGAAATACTAAAGCCTGTCGACTGATAAGCCCACATGAGAAAATGGGCCACGCCGCAAAACATTGGGGGAAATCGATTCAGAACCAACCTTGCAGGCTTGGTAGGGCGGGTTAGCCTGCTGCAAGCAAGTCTGTGTTAAAAATAGACGGCAAGCCACATGCGTGTGTAGGGCCGTACACACCACCGCAAACCCTCCGCATCAGACAGAATAGAGATCTGGTCTCACATGCCTTAGGGTTAGGATTAACACAACAGCGTGTTTGAGGTTAACGATGCCTTACACGATTGACAGAGACCTAATGTGTACATCTAAAAATATATAGAAATGTCACATTTACAAATGGACATTTTTAATATTAATAACACCAGTAGTTGCATAGTAGGCTACGTCTGCTGATTTGAGACAAAATAAAAATTGACAGTGGCTTGTAATACTTGTGTGCCCTCCTATTTTAATGTATAGATTTATGTAGGCCTACTAGACTAGATGAAGATCAAGTAAATTCTATTCTGTCTGATGTAGGCTAACAATTAGGCCCTACTATCATAACATCCCACTAACGACTATATTACTTAGACCTTGTATGAATGGATAATTTGTTTTGATATAGATCTAGAGTTTCGCTATTTAATTGTTGTATAAGTATCAAAAATAAAAATATTAAAAGGCCAGGGTTCGGTTAAGTTTAAATTTTAAAGAATGCAATGTCGTTCAACAAACAGATTACGTCAAGCTAACTACAAGTACAAAAAGTAAAAGGTAACCAGTTTTAGTCAAGGACCTCTGATCGGTACGATACACTCTTCCCCCAAAGAATATCGTACCGGGTATTCAACACAAAATAATCAACGTTGGCGATGGTGTATCATACTGATCAGGGTAATAAGATACTGAGTACACACAAGAGTTAGTTAAAATGGACATAAATGTATGGCTGTCTTGATTATTGGTAGTCAACGCCAAAACTAGCTACGTCATTATACAAATGACGTCATCGTGAGTTGTCTTGCTTTTTATGGCCAATAGGTCTATTCTAATGGCGTTAAAATATCAAGTCTGATTTAAATCGCAATGTCATATGGGTGTTTCGCATTCTTCCATTACTGTTCAGTATATAGTCTTGTCTCTTATACACCATAGGCTACTCGGCGTTACTGCGTCGCATACAACATGGTTGCCTACATACAGGCTTACAATGTTAAGACAATCATACACGCATAACATGAACGTGTTTTCTTCCATATTGTAAAACTTCGCATGTTAGGAACATTATACAGTCAACTCACATTAATAACAATGTGCTATTTTAAGTGAACGTAACACAACTATTTTGTCTCCAGATGTTACTCATACTTTTGAGTTGCTATTATCCCTAGGACGAATCGTATAGATCCCTCTAGCAACTGCGTAGCCAGCCCAAACCAGTTTGGTTCGTTCGATAAAACGCCCCGCGTGACCTGCTTTAAATTAAATTAGCATAATTTATGTGACACGCCACACTCAAAACAAAATGGACGTTCTTTGCTCTTTATAAATAGTCTATTACGGTATCCTAAAACTTAATTAAATATCCACTAAACACGTTTTTACCTCAAAAAAACTTAAAATCTTGCTTTGTCATACATTAAGGTTAATGTAGACCGAATCTTCCCTCACCTGCCTTCTCCAATCTATTACCCCTCTGTCATATTTGAGGGGTCAGATTTAAGAGGAGAGGGTGTCAAACTTAATATTACTAGCTGAATAAGGTTTGTGAGATGTGATCTAAGACAAAAACTTCAGATTGAAGCCACGGGATATTAAAATTAAATCTTAATTGTTTTCTAGACTGAAATTCCCTTCAAGTCCACTTTTGTTTCCATTAAAAAAAGCAATTTACGATCCTCACAGAACTTTTTTCACGATCATGGCGACTATACTAAGGATGACTGGGCCGATCCGCAACAAGCTTCGCAGTCACGTGGTATCTATAGCCAGCTGGTGGTATTGGAATAGTCTTGAAAAATGGGTGTGTGGATATGTTTGAAAAGCATTTACTAAATTATAAATATTTTTAATATTTTCCACCATCTAGTTTCTCAAATTATAAAATAGTTATTTCTACTTTATTTATGCTTGCATACGTAGATTAAAAAACTTGCCCAAACAGATACTACAATGAAATACAGTCACCCCTAAATATGGAATGTTCCAAAAGAGGTTAAAGGAATGCTTAGCATAGGCCGACGTCAGCGAGTCACTTTGACCTCATTTTCGCAGTAAGTACTAAGGCCAGCAAAAGAAACATTCGTTTTACATAACGTTGCGAATACCCGCATTTCGCCAATTTCATTGATGGCTTATTTTTATTTTAGTTTAGAAGTAAAAGAGCCTCATGCAAACATAAAATATTGGCTCACTGGAAGTTCACTTAACAACAAAGCTTGTTGTACATTACTGTTACTGCACCATGGTCTTCTTCCACCACCCCGCACCCTAACCCATATTTTTTTTCAAATTATATAATTTTTAGTATGTTAAATGTTAATGTATGTGCATTATTATAATAAAATTCAATTAAAAAGTTATCTGTATTGTCTTGATATTATATTGAGTTTCGCCTACGAGAAATACAGTAGAGGACATGTGATTAGCAAAAGACTGGCACATAGATCTATAAGTGCTCAGTATAGTTGAAGCTTGCGTGTCTCCCCCATACACTTACATCAGAGGCGTAGCGAGGGCGGGGGGGGGGGGGGGGACAGTGTCCCCCCCTCCCCCATGATTATATCAGTCTACAGTACAGGACAGTGTCCCCCCCTCCCCCATGATTGTATCAGTCTACAGTACAGGACAGTGTCCCCCCCCCTCCCCCATGATTGTATCAGTCTACAGTACAGGACGTCCCCCCTCCCCCATGATTGTATCAGTCTACAGTACAGGACAGTGTCCCCCCCTCCCCCATGATTGTATCAGTCTACAGTACAGGACAGTGTCCCCCCCTCCCCCATGATTGTATCAGTCTACAGTACAGGACAGTGTCCCCCCCTCCCCCATGATTGTATCAGTCTACAGTACAGGACAGTGTCCCCCCCCTCCCCCATGATTGTATCAGTCTACAGTACAGGACAGTGTCCCCCCTCCCCCATGATTGTATCAGTCTACAGTACAGGACAGTGTCCCCCCCTCCCCCATGATTGTATCAGTCTACAGTACAGGACAGTGTCCCCCCCTCCCCCATGATTGTATCAGTCTACAGTACAGGACAGTGTCCCCCCCTCCCCCATGATTGTATCAGTCTACAGTACAGGACAGTGTCCCCCCCTCCCCCATGATTGTATCAGTCTACAGTACAGGACAGTGTCCCCCCCTCCCCCATGATTGTATCAGTGTACAGTACAGGACAGTGTCCCCCCCTCCCCCATGATTGTATCAGTCTACAGTACAGGACAGTGTCCCCCCCTCCCCCATGATTGTATCATTCTACAGTACAGGACAGTGTCCCCCCCTCCCCCATGATTGTATCAGTCTACAGTACAGACAGTCTACTGTTGTACTTAAGTATTATTATGGACCGTGCCTTAGTCCTTTTGTCGGGAGACGATATGTCGGGGTCCCTTTTGACGGGGCTATTTTGACTAGGTCGTTTTGTTGGGGGCTGTTTGACGGTGCACCTTTAAGGACAATTGGGTACGTGTTCACGCAGAAACACAAATTTTACACAACCACCAAATCTATTTCAACTTTGATCATTGCTTTATATTAGGAAATCCTAGTTCCATGGTGTCGGTCAAAAAAACCCTGGACATAAACCCCCTGGACATAAAGCCCCCGACATAAACCCCCCGACATAAACCCCCTGGACATAAAGCCCCCGACATAAACCCCCTGGACATAAACCCCCCGACATAAACCCCCTGGACATAAACCCCCCGACATAAACCCCCTGGACATAAACCCCCCGACATAAACCCCCTGGACATAAACCCCCCGACATAAACCCCCTGGACATAAACCCCCCGACATAAACCCCCTGGACATAAACCCCCCGACATAAACCCCCTGGACAACCCCCCCCCCCCCCCCCCGACATAAACCCCCTGGACAACCCCCCCCCCCCCCGACATAAACCCCCTGGACAAAAAAAACCCAACTGAGGTTATATAATATAAGGAAAAACCAAAAATGATGAGAACCAAAATTAATATATAAATACAAAACAAACATTAGAAAAAAAACCGTTTTATTTTTATTATAACTTCAAAAGCCAGATTGTGAGCGATGCCTCGCAAATACTCAATAATGGTGGACTCATTAAAATTTTTAACAACAGTTAAAATTCGAGCGCTGCTATCAATATATTTTTTTTTCTGTTTTGTGTTTTTTACTGTGTACCATAAACCTCTTGGAGCGATTGTTCCTTTTTAATAAAGTCAATGAACTTCCAAATATTCGACTGGAAACATCTGTGCCAGCCTTCAACTGAGTTGTTTGTTTTTGGCATATGGTCTTTTGCACGTGTGTGCATGTTCCAATTGGAAACATAGGTTGTCTCCGACCTCGACGTTGTGGTCTGCCAATATAGTAGTCCTCGAAATAGTCTGCAATCGGCATTGCTCCTTGGGGGAAAATTTCCAATAATTTTTCAAAGGTATAACATAATAACTCATGTGTTCAATGGGAACAAAAGCCAACGCAGGTAACATTCTGAGCTTAAGAGCAAATTCACTATCAACTTGGTAGAGTTATTGATGGCTAGAGTCCTGTATTTTTCTGTATATATTTTGGCTAAGATGGAAGAAACATCCTTTTACCTCACACTCTGGAAAAACCCTTTAACACTTTTTATCACAGCCATTTCAAAGTCAATCATAACAGAAATTGGTTGCAGGTTTGTGTTTAAGACCGTTAGCTGCTGTAAGAGTGCTGTGTATGTTTCCTGTGTTTTGTTTTGAAGTAAGGCATAAACACACGGAACATTCCGTCCATTGACCAATGCATGGACTGTGTACAGTTGTGAAAACAGTGCAGGAGCTGTTTTGAATGTACCATCCATAAACCAGTGCTGATTAACCTCCAATAACCTAAGGTTGTCCTTAGTTCCAAACAAAAACATTCTACTTTTTGATTTGGCACCGGAATCGAATAGAAGAAATTGTTGTCCATCTTGTGGCATTGTATATTGTTCAGGAATGATTATATCATCAACACTCCTTGGATCAGACAGTGGGTGTTTTAACATTTGACGTTGACGCCTGATGTTACGCCGTATGTGTGGAACCGAGGGCAGCTTGGCCTTGGCATCTCCACTAATCGTAGTAATGGACTGAGTGATGATCTGCTGGGGTGTTGCTTCCGTTTCTTCTGCCAGTTGTTTCATCTGCTGCTCTACTTTACACACTTCCAGTTAAGATGGATCTGGTCCATGCGAATGTTCATTACTATTTTCTTAGTCGTAAAAAATTAAATTAATTTATTGTAATTTGTTTTATTTTTTGGTTTACATCATCGTTATTATTTCTATATATAAACCTCAGTCCGGGGGGTATTATCCGGGGGGTTTATGTCGCGGGGGGGGTGTCCAGGGGGTTTATGTCGGAGGGGTTTATGTCCGGGGGGGTTTATGTCCGGGGGGGGGGGGGGGGGTTATGTCCAGGGGATTTTTGACCGGGAGCCTAGTTCCATTTCCTTGCCGCTGTTCACATTCCTAGACAGGTTTGTATACTATTCATTTGTATAAGCCAACTAATGCGTAGAGCGCAGAGGCGTAGCGACCCTTCCCGGCGCCCGGGGACAAACTTTTCGATTTGCACCCCCCCTCAAGATTTTGATTTGCACCCCCCCCCCCAACCTTTCAATTTATTTTTCCAACCCATTTTGGCGACCCCTAAGGTCGGCGTCCGGGCGTATCTCTGCCCAAATGCTTTAGGCTCCCTCCGCTCTCATGCACCTCTCAACTTATCATGAGAACTTTCAAAGAAAATTCAAATAAGGAAACCACATCGGTAGCGAAAGTTTAGATAATTATATCAAGTTTCCTCTCTGTGGAACACATGCCTATCGATATTCCTACCCTCTCCTAATTCTAAATTTATCTGATTTATCTGTAGGGGGGGGGGGGAGTGTGGTTGTATACAAATAGTAATATTTATAACACACAAAAAAGATTTTTGTATACGCGTTTGTAGGCTCTGTTTTACTTCTGTTTTACAATATAATTAATAGAATTTAATATTATGTTCGAACCTTCTCGGTTTCAGTCGTGTTTTTAAATATTAACTTTAAATTAGCGTGAAATAGCACAAAGTTAATGTGACTTGCCGTCCTCAACTAATCACAACAATAGTTCAACCACCTTTACTGCCCACATTTATCACGCTCTTTACGTATCAAAGCCTAGGATCAAAAGAGAAAGCCGACACGGTACAAAAGCTGTGATTGACGCAAAACGTAAACAGCACACAATATGGTCGGTCGCCCCCCCCCCCCCCCCCCGAAAAAATCAATGTAAAAGCCTATATATATATATATATATATATATATATATATATATATATATATATATATATATATATATATATATATATATATATATATATCCTAATTTATAAAAGGCCATGTGCGCTCTTCTCTCTCTCTCTCTCTCTCTTTCTCTGTCCGCAAAAAATTTTCGCCGGACATCACGTCAGAATCGGCAGCGGTATATGGAGAACTTTTTACGGACTTTTGTTGAAAATAATATGTTAGATGTTTTAAATGTATAACCACAATTTTACTTAAAGAAGAAAAATAAAAATTAAAGGCGTATTCGAATGTAGAGAAACAGTATTATTTATGCAACCGGAAAAGCATTAATATATGTGAAAAAGAACGCATAAAACTGTGACGTCACTATTGCTTATACATTAACTAATGACGTCATCTGCCGTGTTAAGAATGAAAAGAAATGAACTATTTCATTCAAATTTGATTTAGATCTACGTACACTATGAAATGTATACAATACAATTTTTCCGGCCTAAACTCATAAAATTTATTTTATGTATTTGGATTCTAGATCTAGAGATTCTAGATCTAGACTAAATCTAAATCTAAATCTACGCAATAACTAGATCTAGACGTAGACGCTAAGATCTAGATTTAGACTCTAACTTCTCTAAAATCAATTCCAAAAATAAATTTCTATATTAGGACTAAACTATTTCAAGACTTATTTATTTTATACAAAATCTTTGTTTGGAACTGGCTAATTTGGGATAAAAAATTAATTTGAAAGAATAGGCATATTCGCGTAAGTTAAGATTTTAAAATACGTGTTTCATTCTCCGTTTTTAGGAATCTAGATCTAGATCTAGATTGTCGGGTGTCCGATAGGGCACTTCCCGGCGCCGCAGGCGCTTCAAATTTGGCATGATCTTGCCTTGGTGCGACAGAACACGGGGGCCGGTTGGCCGAAAAGTCTACGATGTGGGGGTCAAAACTGACCTCGACTGACCGGTACCTTATATGAGCTATAAATCGAAAAAAAATGTCCACGGAGGAACCTCTTCATAACTCTTGAGGTCGTAGACCGACCTTCGGGCGAATTAATTAAGCATTCAAATTCTCAATGTTTTCGAAAGCCTAAGCGAAGCTGGGCAGCATGCCTAGTATATATATAAGCCACATACATATGTAATGTACAATACATGTATACGCATGTGTATATGTATTGAAATCTTTTTTTAAAAGCTAAACTTCGTTTTTTTTTTTATTTATAGGAAATGAGTAACGTAGCGACCAAACACTTTTTTACAAAGTATGAATCCGCTAAACGCTATTTACCTCGTATGGGTATACTAAATTTGTAAACAAATTATTGTTCCATTGCAAAATATACGACATTTAATGATCAATATGATTAAAGTCGTGAAATATTGTTTTAAAACTTTAAGCCAGAGGCGTAGCGGGGGGGGGGGCTACATATGTCCCCGGGCGCCGACTCTAGGTGTCGCCAAAATGGGTTAAAAATAAATTAAAAGCTCATTTTAACTGCAGTTTTGCATTATAAATATATATATAGCGGGGGAGGCGCCAAATTGAAAGTTTGTCCCCGGGCGCCGGGAAGGGTCGCTCTACGCCTCTGCTTTAAGCTTATGAAAAAAGTCAACATGTATCAATATGGCAAGCAGTTTTCTTTTTCTCTTGGTCGCTTTTTATTGCTTATGGTTTCTATTATTCATTTAAATCTCAAACATTTTTATTACCTCGATTTATTTACAATGGATGAATACATTGATTTTAGCCACTTATCACGCCACTTTTTATAGGAATAGAAAAATAACCCATTAACCACATCATAGATAACAAATCAACAACTTCAGCACAATCAAATGTACAACTAGTGTTCTACTGGTGGCACTCAACCTCCACACACACACGTTAGCTGTTGAATAATAATTTGCTTAATCGAATGATTAGTAACTTGAACATTTCCATTGTGGTGTCACCCCAATTCATTTCCATGGACTGTGTATTTGGTGTCACCCCCCCCCCCCCCAAATATTTGTTTACAAAATGCTACAGAAAATAAAATTCCAAGCACATTAATAAACACCCTAATTTTACAATTATCAACAATAAAATTAAAATATTTCTTTGAATATTTTTGAGACTTTTTTTCTGTGACTTTTTTTTTCCGTCCGAGAGCCATAGTCAACATTTGGGCCAGTAGCTGAGGGGCTGGTTGAGGAGGACAGGCGCCATGAGGAGTCACAGTCTACTCCATACAAGAGGAGTCACAGTTCATTCCATACAAGGAGTCAGTCTACTCACACAAGAGGAGTCACGCAGTCACAAGTCTAAACGCCATCAATACAACACACACAAAACTATTTGATTGAACTAAGGCTACATTTAGACTAATGGTTCGTCTGATTGCTTCAAGTGCTCACTGCAGCCAACGATACAGCAGATGTTGCTTATATCCTCTGTTATTTATTTATAAAGATACCCACTGTTACCATTGTGTCGTCGTTGTGATACGACGCAAGAACCTTTACCAACCAGGGGAGAGAATGCAGAAAACAAGTAACAAAAGCTGCTTCTTGATTACCCCACGTCTAGACCTACAGAACTTGTACTAAAATGCTACTATTGAAAGATTGTAAAAATATTAATAGACTACATATCAGTAAGCTGGTTATGATGTTTTAAAAACAATTAGTACCATCTGTATAACAATATTACATTTCTGATTACAATTTTTACCAATTCAGGTAATTCCACATTCCCAATAATAATTTATTGCTTTAAAAAACCGATGACTAGCTTTGTGTATATTAATTAGCGTCTAACTAAACTTGAGCGATAGAAGAGCCACCGAAACATTTGCAACCAACAGATTCACTAACAACATCACGACAGCTCAATGAATGAAGTGACAAAAGCACAATTTGTTAGACTATGAAATGTATTGAAGCAGTACAAATACAATAGCAAAAGAATGAAGAAGCTAACTATGTTAGGGACACCCTTAGGACATTGGCCCAGGCCAAGACAGGAGAGACAGGGACCCCTAGGGAGACAGGGACCCCTTGGACAGACTCAGACCAGACCCCTAGGACTGAAGGGATTCCAGATACAGACAGGGACCCCTAGGACTGAAGGGACTCCAGATACAGACAGGGACCCCTAGGACTGAAGGGACTCCAGATACAAACAGGGACCCCTAGGACTGAAGGGACTCCAGATACAGATAGGGACCCCTAGGACAGGGACCCCCAGGACTGAAGGGACCAGATACAGATAGGGACCCCTAGGACAGCAGTTAGTTGTTTTTTGGAGGTTCTGGTGGGAGTTTCAGCAGTATAGGGGGTAGCAGGGGTGGTGTTTTAGATAGGGGAGGTTGGTGGGGGAGTAACTAATGATAGGGGAGGGAGGTGGGGGGGGGGGAGTAACTAATGATAGGGGAGGGAGGTTGGTGGGGGAGTAACTAATGATAGGGGAGGGAGGTTGGTGGGGGAGTAACTAATGATAGGGGAGGGAGGTTGGGGGGGGATAATGATAGGGGAGGGATCGTTTTTGTAGGGATAATTGAAATGCAAGAGTTTTAACAGTGTGTTTGAATGATAAACAATGTTTCCCACGTGTGGTGGTACCAGTGACCCACATGTGGTGGTACCAGTGACCCAGGTGTGGTGGTACCAGTGACCCAGGTGTGGTGGTACCAGTGACCCAGGTGTGGTGGTACCAGTGACCCAGGTGTGGTGGTACCAGTGACCCACGTGTGGTCTAGACAATAGAAATCTGCCATGAGCCATAAATTAATTGTTTACAAAAAAAAATCTTAAAACACAGCTAATATAATATGGAGTTGAAATGGACAAGTTTGAAGCAAACATTAAATGTTGACAAAGTTTCAAAAAATAATTATGTACAGCTTTTACTAATTCATACAAACAAATACATTCAAAAAGTGTCCAGCCTCAGGACAGAGTTGTGAAATAAATGTAGGCTATCCACTATTACTAAAATATGAGAGTATTTGTGCATGGCATAATTTGTGTAAATAAAGAGAGAATGTATGGGAGCTAGTGATGTTTTTTTTTGTAGGGTCATTGTGGTGAGAGAAAGAGAGACAGACAGGTTTGTCTAGATCATGGTGCTAGTCTGGTTTGATCATGGTGCTAGTCAGGTTTGTTTAGATCATGGTGCTAGTCAGGTTTGTTTAGATCATGGTGCTAGTCAGGTTTGTCTAGATCATGGTGCTAGTCAGGTTTGTCTAGATCATGGTGCTAGTCAGGTTTGTCTAGATCATGGTGCTAGTCAGGTTTGTTTAGATCATGGTGCTAGTCTGGTTAGATCATGGTGCTAGTCAGGTTTGTTTAGATCATGGTGCTAGTCAGGTTTGTCTAGATCATGGTGCTAGTCAGGTTTGTCTAGATCATGGTGCTAGTCAGGTTTGTCTAGATCATGGTGCTAGTCAGGTTTGTTTAGATCATGGTGCTAGTCAGGTTTGTCTAGATCATGGTGCTAGTCAGGTTTGTCTAGATCATGGTGCTAGTCAGGTTAGATCATGGTGCTAGTCTGGTTAGATCATGGTGCTAGTCTGGTTAGATCATGGTGCTAGTCAGGTTTGTCTAGATCATGGTGCTAGTCTGGTTTGTCTAGATCATGGTGCTAGTCTGGTTTGTCTAGATCATGGTGCTAGTCTGGTTTGTCTAGATCATGGTGCTAGTCTGGTTTGTCTAGATCATGGTGCTAGTCAGGTTTGTCTAGATCATGGTGCTAGTCTGGTTTGTCTAGATCATGGTGCTAGTCTGGTTTGTCTAGATCATGGTGCTAGTCTGGTTTGTCTAGATCATGGTGCTAGTCTGGTTTGTCTAGATCATGGTGCTAGTCAGGTTTGTCTAGATCATGGTGCTAGTCTGGTTTGTCTAGATCATGGTGCTAGTCTGGTTAGATCATGGTGCTAGTCTGGTTAGATCATGGTGCTAGTGAGGTTTGTCTAGATCATGGTGCTAGTGAGGTTTGTCTAGATCATGGTGCTAGTCAGGTTTGTCTAGATCATGGTGCTAGTCAGGTTTGTCTAGATCATGGTGCTAGTCAGGTTTGTTTAGATCATGGTGCTAGTCAGGTTTGTCTAGATCATGGTGCTAGTCTGGTTTGTCTAGATCATGGTGCTAGTCAGGTTTGTCTAGATCATGGTGCTAGTCTGGTTTGTCTAGATCATGGTGCTAGTCAGGTTTGTCTAGATCATGGTGCTAGTCTGGTTTGTCTAGATCAGGGGTCTCCAAACTTTTCAGCCCGAGGGCCGCATTAACTATCAAATATAAGTTCGGGGGCCAGAGTTTCTTCCAGGTATAGCATTGGGGTGGCATTTTTCCAAAGCCACCTACAACAAACATTTTTTTTCCGTGGACAAAAATATCTCCGAGGGCCGGATGAGAGGACCTCGCGGGCCGCATACGGCCCACGGGCCGTAGTTTGGAGACCCCTGGTCTAGATCATGGTGCTAGTCAGGTTTGTCTAGATCATGGTGCTAGTCAGGTTAGATCATGGTGTTTGTGAGTGAAGGCTAGACCTGGTGCCCCAGTGAAGATGAGTTACGATCAAATAAATGTGGTAGATTGTGTAAGTTGCCCAAGAAAAAGATTCTCACGTAAAAAAATCTTCCAGTAAAGTATATAGAAAAATATTTCTTGATTTTATAGACCTTCAAAAACTGGAAATAAAAAGGCACATCAGTTGACCCAATAAAAAAACATGAGGAAATAAATGATGTTACTTTAATTAGTGTGTGTAATTAAGTGTGAACAGCTTTCCCTAATTAGCGAGGGACATGATAAGACTACAAAAAAATTCAGTCAAAATAAATCAATGTAGGACATAGAAAAATTTGTTCAGCAATAAAAAAGTACAGGTCAAGTTTACAACTCATACCTTTACATACAGGTCAACTTTACAAAGTTCATATAAGTCTAATTGACAGCTGACAGAAAGAATCAAACAACTTTACAAAGTTCATATAAGTCTAATTGACAGCTGACAGAAAGAATCAAACTTCTAATGAATGAGGAGAGTAAACAATGGACTGAATTTTGATTTCCTCCCCCTAAAGACTGTTTCCCATCCTCCATCTCCTGGTGGCATTTAAGCTCTGGAATAAAAAACAGGTCAGACATTCATTCAACTTTAAGGTCAGACATTCATTCAACTTTAAGGTCAGACATTCATTCAACTTTAAGGTCAGACATTCATTCAACTTGCTTGTGTCAGATTGCTCCCCCCTCCCCCCAACCTTGGTACCTCCCTCACCTCCAACCTTGGTACCCCCCCCCCCCCTCCAACCTTGGTACCCCCCCCCCCCCCCCCCCCCCCCTCCCCTATAGAGGACAGCAGCAACTACTTACACAGTGTCCCTGATGGCACAACACAACACCATGGAGAAGATCATTCCCAGGATCTGAGAGAAAGAAACAAACTGACTTTGTTAACATCTAGAGCTCAGGGCTAACCCAGTTTTATAGTGTTAACATGAGGCTGGCTGTTGCCATGACAACAGCTCTAGATCTTACCATGACAACAGCTATACCAATAGCTATTCCAGCAATAATTATCAGCCGAGATTCGAGCCAACTGTACAATGCATCATTGCAAGGCTGAGAATAAAAAACAAGTTAATAAAAAGTCTAGTGACAATTTAAGCGCAATTTCCTTAATTAATTTTTTAAAAAATGTGAAAAAATGATTAGGCCTAGCAAAACAAAACTTTGTAATTGTAACTCCCTATCACTCTCATATAAATTATAAATAAATTAATAGGGTACAAAAATAACGTTTGAATTAATAAGTAAAAAAAAAAGACAACTATATTAACCTATATCAACGGAAATAGTTTTATTTTAACGAGTAGGCCTACAAGATGCTCAGTTTAAAATATCATCCTAGGCCTACACAATGCTCAGTTTAAATAATTAAAAAAAAAATGGTTGTGACCGAACGAAAGGATATTTTTGAAAACTTTCTTCAGCAATATTGTTCTAAATTATGGCAGGAATCGATTGGTAAATGTTTCAAGTCGCTAAGTGGTCTGGATGCCGAGATATGGAGCAAAAACTGCATTTGTTCGAGGTTTTTTGGCTTTTCCGGGAAATCCAGGAAGGAATTCCAGGAATTTTTTTGGCCTATGTTCATCCTCGGAACTTGCTTAACATATTTGCTTTTGGAACTAGTCCTAGATATTGCTTCGTTGAGGAGGAGATACAACTTAAAGGCTGCGGACACACATTCATCCAGAAATGACGAGTTAATAATCACAATCCCAGTATGGAAATTGCGCTAAAAATGGTCAGCTCAAGGTCATTAAATAAAGGTTGCAAGGCTGAGAATAAAAAAAATAGTCAGCTCAAGGTCATTAGATATAGGTTGCAAGTATTCCTATGGATGCTTACTTTGTTGTAGGCCTACCAAAAATGACTTTGTTGTAGGCCTACCAAAAATGACTTTGTTGTAGGCCTACCAAAAATGACTTTGTTGTAGGCCTACCAAAAATGACTTTGTTGTAGGCCTACCAAAAATGACTTTGTTGTAGGCCTACCAAAAATGACTTTGTTGTAGGCCTACCAAAAATGACTTTGTTGTAGGCCAACCAAAAATGACTTTGTTGTAGGCCTACCAAAAATGACTTTGTTGTAGGCCTACCAAAAATGACTTTGTTGTAGGCCTACCAAAAGACTTACCTTGCTCTGCCAAGAGGCTTACCTTAGTGAATGTCTCTAGGGCGCAGTTTGGCAGTTCCGACGGAACACCATAATCTGCTATGCCTTTGTCCCAACCACAACAATGAAACTGAAAGAGTTAGTATCCATTAGTGCATGTGAGTGAGAAGACATACCTTGTCGTAGTTGTCTGGTAAACAGCTTTGGGGGACCCCAGACACAACGTTGTAGTCAATGTTACCAGCTGTGTGGCCACAGCAGTTCAGCTGAAAGTATACAGGGTGACTAGCAGGCCAAACCAAGCAATATATCAGTGGGCCACAGGTCTAGATGCGTGGGCCACAGGTCAAGACGTGTGGGCCACAACTGTAGATGTGTGGGCCACAACTGTAGATGTGTGGGCCACAGGTCTAGATGCGTGGGCCACAGGTCTAGATATGTGGGCCACAACTGTAGATGTGTGGGCCACAACTGTAGATGTGTGGGCCACAGGTCTAGATGTGTGGGCCACAACTGTAGATGTGTGGGCCACAGGTCTAGATGCGTGGGCCACAGGTCTAGATATGTGGGCCACAACTGTAGATGTGTGGGCCACAACTGTAGATGTGTGGGCCACAGGTCTAGATGCGTGGGCCACAGGTCTAGATATGTGGGCCACAACTGTAGATGTGTGGGCCACAACTGTAGATGTGTGGGCCACAGGTCTAGATGTGTGGGCCACAGGTCTAGATATGTGGGCCACAGGTCTAGATGTGTGGGCCACAACTGTAGATGTGTGGGCCACAGGTCTAGATGTGTGGGCCACAACTGTAGATGTGTGGGCCACAGGTCTAGATGTGTGGGCCACAGGTCTAGATATGTGGGCCACAACTGTAGATGTGTGGGCCACAACTGTAGATGTGTGGGCCACAGGTCTAGATGTGTGGGCCACAGGTCTTGATGTGTGGGCCACAACTGTAGATGTGTGGGCCACAACTGTAGATGTGTGGGCCACAGGTCTAGATGTGTGGGCCACAGGTCTAGATGTGTGGGCCACAACTGTAGATGTGTGGGCCACAACTGTAGATGTGTGGGCCACAACTGTAGATGTGTGGGCCACAGGTCTAGATGTGTGGGCCACAGGTCTTGATGTGTAAGCCACAGGTCTAGATGTGTGGGCCACAACTGTAGATGTGTGGGCCACAGGTCTAGATGTGTGGGCCACAGGTCTAGATGTGTGGGCCACAACTGTAGATGTGTGGGCCACAGGTCTAGATGTGTGGGCCACAACTGTAGATGTGTGGGCCACAGGTCTAGATGTGTGGGCCACAGGTCTAGATGCGTGGGCCACAGGTCTAGATATGTGGGCCACAACTGTAGATGTGTGGGCCACAACTGTAGATGTGTGGGCCACAGGTCTAGATGTGTGGGCCACAGGTCTAGATGTGTGGGCCACAGGTCTAGATGTGTGGGCCACAGGTCTTGATGTGTGGGCCACAGGTCTAGATGTGTGGGCCACAACTGTAGATGTGTGGGCCACAACTGTAGATGTGTGGGCCACAACTGTAGACGTGTGGGCCACAACTGTAGATGTGTGGGCCACAACTGTAGATGTGTGGGCCACAACTGTAGACGTGTGGGCCACAGGTCTTGACATGTGGCCACAGGTCTTGACATGTGGGCCACAGGTCTAGATGTGTGGGCCACAACTGTAGATGTGTGGGCCACAACTGTAGATGTGTGGGCCACAACTGTAGACGTGTGGGCCACAGGTCTAGATGTGTGGGCCATAATTCTACATTTGTGGTCCTCATATCTAGATGTGCAGGCCATTTAAACTAATGCTATATAATATCCAACTGGATGCTGACATGCTGCTAGTGCTACTAATAACATTGATTACATGTGTTTGGGTTTAGCTAAGAAAACATTGGCAGAAAAATAAATGTTCTAGGAAGGGTGTCAAATGATTGTCAGAGAAGTAGCATAGTAATGGTGGGGTTGCTGAGTAATTAACAGATATTTTGACTGCTTTTACCCCTCTTGCAATATTTAGGAAAATTTAATACTTTGAAAAATCAGAATATTACAGAAGCAATATTTTTCTTTAAACTGACCATTGCTTAAGATTTTAAATAAAAATTGCTGCAGTAACTTTTTTTTATTTAATAAAAATATTCACATTTGGTTTGAAAAATACTAGCTGGCAAATGCAAATATGAGAAGTTGGTGACCTACTTAAAAAACTCTCAATGAAGATTTAGCCAACTTTTGTAGGTGTACAGGCACCAGAGAATCCTGCCTGTTTGTGTGTGTGTATGCAAGTTAACACGATAACACAAGTACAATTTCAGTTAATTTGATGAAATTTCATATACAAGTATTACATCAAATGTATAGTTTTCTTTCAACTTTTGAGTGACTGATTCAGTGGAAGTGGCAGTTACTCTACTTCCCAAAACACAGGGCCACACTTTAGACAGGTCAAAGATTCTCTTGACTTACAAGAAATTTGGAGTGATTTCATGTCGAAACTTGTCAAAACCTTGATTTAGATTTGAGAAAGATTGCAATACATACTTTACATTCTGTATTCTAGGAAGTAGAGGTGTAAAGCAGTGAAAACATTAAAAATATCTGTTAATTATTTAGTACTGTTTTATTACAATACTTCCTCTATACTTTGCATTTGAGAAAGTAAAGACATTTCTATAGCCCAGCGGAAGTGCCATCCCTCTCCCTGTACTGTTATATAAGAAGACACCAGAAAGTAGAGGGGAGATTACTCCCGCTTTATTTTAAAAGTTCTTTTTTAGTGGTGCTGCCAAAATTTTGTATGATATGTACATAATTGTTAAGTTATTTGAAGTGCAGAATATGTAAATAAAATATCAAAGCAAATCATTCTAATATAAAATAAATGAAAGAAAATTCAGTTATGTTGAGCTGGAATTTCTTTAAATCTGACATTTGTTCAAATTATAGGACAACTGGCATAAGTTCACAAACTGTAACAACTGACATTCATGCACAAACTGTAACAACTGACATTCATACACAAACTGTAACAACTGACATTCATGCACAAACTGTAACAACTGACATTCATACACAAACTGTAACAACTGACATTCATGCACAAACTGTAACAACTGACATTCATGCACAAACTGTAACAACTGACATTCATGCACAAACTGTAACAACTGACATTCATGCACAAACTGTTACAACTGACATTCATACACAAACTGACATAATTTCACAAACTGACAACTTACTGATGTTTGGATGGTGTCCATAAAAGCCTTCTGGTTAGAATCTTCATAATATTTTTCAACCCCCTCTTTCAGCATATCAGCTGTTATGTCCTTGAACTGGATCAAAAATTTTTTTTTATGTTCTATGATGTGTGTCTACATGTGATGTGTGTCTACATGTGATGTGTGTCTATGTGTGATGTGTGTCTACAGGTGATGTGTGTCTATGTGTGATGTGTGTCTACATGTGATGTGTGTCTACATGTGATGTGTGTCTACATGTGATGTGTGTCTACATGTGATGTGTGTGTCTACATGTGATGAGTGTGTCTACATGTGATGTGTGTGTCTACATGTGATGTGTGTCTACATGTGATGTGTGTCTACATGTGATGTGTGTGTCTACATGTGATGTGTGTGTCTACATGTGATGTGTGTCTACATGTGATGTGTGTCTACATGTGATGTGTGTCTACATGTGATGTGTGTCTACATGTGATGTGTGTCTACATGTAATGTGTGTCTACATGTGATGTGTGTCTACATGTGATGTGTGTCTACATGTGATGTGTGTCTACATGTGATGTGTGTGTCTACAGGTGATGTGTATCTACATGTGATGTGTGTCTACATGTGATGTGTGTCTAGTGTGATGTGTGTCTACATGTGATGTGTGTCTACATGTGATGTGTGTCTACATGTGATGTGTGTCTAGTGTGATGTGTGTCTACATGTGATGTGTGTCTACATGTGATGTGTGTCTAGTGTGATGTGTGTCTACATGTAATGTGTGTCTACATGTAATGTGTGTCTACATGTGATGTGTGTCTACATGTGATGTGTGTCTACATGTGATGTGTGTCTAGTGTGATGTGTGTCTACATGTGATGTGTGTCTACATGTGATGTGTGTCTACATGTGATGTGTGTCTAGTGTGATGTGTGTCTACATGTAATGTGTGTCTACATGTGATGTGTGTCTACATGTGATGTGTGTCTACATGTGATGTGTGTCTACATGTGATGTGTGTCTACATGTGATGTGTGTCTACATATGATGTGTGTCTACATGTGATGTGTGTCTACATGTGATGTGTGTCTACATGTGATGTGTGTCTACATGTGATGCGTGTCTACATGTGATGTGTGTACTCACATTTTGCCTGGCCACAGCTGCCCAAATGCCAAAACCCAGCAAAGTGGCGAAGATGATGAAAAGGAAGAGGAAAAACTGTAAAATAAAACAAAAAGGCTGGTAATACATTGGTGGAATGGTTGAACCATTTGTTTGAAGTTAACAATTGATGTACATGAGACTAGAAGTTAACAATTGATGTACATGAGACTAGAAGTTAACAATTGATGTACATGAGACTAGAAGTTAACAACTGATGTACATGAGACTAGAAGTTAACAACTGATGTACATGAGACTAGAAGTTAACAATTGATGTACATGAGACTAGAAGTTAACAATTGATGTACATGAGACTAGAAGTTAACTGATGTACATGAGACTAGAAGTTAACTGATGTACATGAGACTAGAAGTTAACAATTGATGTACATGAGACTAGAAGTTAACAATTGATGTACATGAGACTAGAAGTTAACAATTGATGTACATGAGACTAGAAGTTAACAATTGATGTACATGAGACTAGAAGTTAACAATTGATGTACATGAGACTAGAAGTTAACAATTGATGTACATGAGACTAGAAGTTAACAATTGATGTACATGAGACTAGAAGTTAACAACTGATGTACATGAGACTAGAAGTTAACAATTGATGTACATGAGACTAGAAGTTAACAACTGATGTACATGAGACTAGAAGTTAACAATTGATGTACATGAGACTAGAAGTTAACAATTGATGTACATGAGACTAGAAGTTAACAATTGATGTACATGAGACTAGAAGTTAACAACTGATGTACATGAGACTAGAAGTTAACAATTGATGTACATGAGACTAGAAGTTAACAATTGATGTACATGAGACTAGAAGTTAACAATTGATGTACATGAGACTAGAAGTTAACAACTGATGTACATGAGACTAGAAGTTAACAATTGATGTACATGAGACTAGAAGTTAACAATTGATGTACATGAGACTAGATGTACATGAAGTTAACAATGTTCCAACTTACAGTGGCCAGCAAACATTGGTTTTCCCTTATGGCACCACAACAGCCCAGGAAACCAATGACCATGATGAGAAAGCCAATGGCTATGAGGACGTAGGCAGCCGTGTGGATGATCTCCAGCTTGGGTGAGTCCTTCAGGAACTCTGCAGCGTTCTGGTCCACCCTCAGCCATATCCCCACCCCCAGTATTGCACATCCCAGCAGCTGAAAGTGGGACAGTATTTAAAACACACACAAAATCTTTACAACACAGTCATCTGTACAACACACAGCATAAATAACATTGCACAAGATTTTAAATATCTTTATTGGAACTTTCATCCTTAGTAAAGACCAGCATCCATATAACAGCTTTTAAAGATGCGTGAGACTTTTATCTGCCTTTAACTAGTGTACCTAGTCATCTCCTACACAGTCATCTACCTTTATCTAGTATATCTAGCCTATTCTGCCTATAATATTTCATAGGACTAGTTGTGTTGGGACATACAGATCAGTGGAGTGACCACTGGACTAGTTGGGACATACAGGTCAGTTGAGTGACCACTGGACTAGTTGGGACATACAGGTCAGTTGAGTGACCACTGGACTAGTTGGGACATACAGATCAGTGGAGTGACCACTGGACTAGTTGGGACATACAGATCAGTGGAGTGACCACTGGACTAGTTGGGACATACAGATCAGTGGAGTGACCACTGGACTAGTTGGGACATACAGATCAGTGGAGTGACCACTGGACTAGTTGGGACATACAGATCAGTGGAGTGACCACTGGACTAGTTGGGACATACAGGTCAGTTGAGTGACCACTGGACTAGTTGGGACATACAGATCAGTGGAGTGACCACTGGACTAGTTGTGTTGGGACATACAGATCAGTGGAGTGACCACTGGACTAGTTGGGACATACAGATCAGTGGAGTGACCACTGGACTAGTTGGGACATACAGATCAGTGGAGTGACCACTGGACTAGTTGGGACATACAAAACTGTATTATCTTCTTAAAAATCTATTATAACCTCCCCAACCACAAGAGCAACCTTTCCCCTAACATAATCAATACATCCTTGTACTCAATTGCCATTTATAAATAGTTTCATGAATGGAAAGCCAGGAAAAAAATCAATGTCTATGCTAGAGCCATCTTTAGAGAATATTGATTGACTGCAGTGAACTTGTGCAGAAACTTGCTTGACCTGTACCACCACTACATTCATGTTGCTAGAGTTCTAGAACTTGATCTGTACCACCACTACATGTTGCATGAGTTCTAGAACTTGACCTGTACCACCACTACATTCATGTTGCTAGAGTTCTAGAACTTGATCTGTACCACCACTACATGTTGCTAGAGTTCTAGAACTTGATCTGTACCACCACTACATGTTGCTAGAGTTCTAGAACTTGATCTGTACCACCACTACATCCATGTTGCTAGAGTTCTAGAACTTGATCTGTACCACCACTACATGTTGCTAGAGTTCTAGAACTTGATCTGTACCACCACTACATGTTGCTAGAGTTCTAGAACTTGATCTGTACCACCACTACATGTTGCTAGAGTTCTAGAACTTGATCTGTACCACCACTACATCCATGTTGCTAGAGTTCTAGAACTTGATCTGTACCACCACTACATCCATGTTGCTAGAGTTCTAGAACTTGATCTGTACCACCACTACATGTTGCTAGAGTTCTAGAACTTGATCTGTACCACCACTACATGTTACATGAGTTCTAGAACTTGATCTGTACCACCACTACATGTTGCATGAGTTCTAGAACTTGATCTGTACCACCACTACATGTTGCTAGAGTTCTAGAACTTGATCTGTACCACCACTACATGTTGCTAGAGTTCTAGAACTTGATCTGTACCACCACTACATGTTGCATGAGTTCTAGAACTTGATCTGTACCACCACTACATGTTGCTAGAGTTCTAGAACTTGATCTGTACCACCACTACATGTTGCTAGAGTTCTAGAACTTGATCTGTACCACCACTACATGTTGCTAGAGTTCTAGAACTTGATCTGTACCACCACTACATCCATGTTGCTAGAGTTCTAGAACTTGATCTGTACCACCACTACATGTTGCTAGAGTTCTAGAACTTGATCTGTACCACCACTACATGTTACATGAGTTCTAGAACTTGATCTGTACCACCACTACATGTTGCTAGAGTTCTAGAACTTGATCTGTACCACCACTACATGTTGCATGAGTTCTAGAACTTGATCTGTACCACCACTACATGTTGCTAGAGTTCTAGAACTTGATCTGTACCACCACTACATGTTGCTAGAGTTCTAGAACTTGATCTGTACCACCACTACATGTTGCATGAGTTCTAGAACTTGATCTGTACCACCACTACATGTTGCATGAGTTCTAGAACTTGATCTGTACCACCACTACATCCATGTTGCATGAGTTCTAGAACTTGATCTGTACCACCACTACATGTTGCTAGAGTTCTAGAACTTGATCTGTACCACCACTACATGTTACATGAGTTCTAGAACTTGATCTGTACCACCACTACATGTTGCTAGAGTTCTAGAACTTGATCTGTACCACCACTACATGTTGCATGAGTTCTAGAACTTGATCTGTACCACCACTACATCCATGTTGCTAGAGTTCTAGAACTTGATCTGTACCACCACTACATGTTGCATGAGTTCTAGAACTTGATCTGTACCACCACTACATGTTGCTAGAGTTCTAGAACTTGATCTGTACCACCGCTACATGTTGCATGAGTTCTAGAACTTGATCTGTACCACCACTACATGTTGCTAGAGTTCTAGAACTTGATCTGTACCACCACTACATGTTGCTAGAGTTCTAGAACTTGATCTGTACCACCACTACATCCATGTTGCTAGAGTTCTAGAACTTGATCTGTACCACCACTACATGTTGCATGAGTTCTAGAACTTGATCTGTACCACCACTACATCCATGTTGCTAGAGTTCTAGAACTTGATCTGTACCACCACTACATGTTGCATGAGTTCTAGAACTTGATCTGTACCACCACTACATCCATGTTGCTAGAGTTCTAGAACTTGATCTGTACCACCACTACATGTTGCTAGAGTTCTAGAACTTGATCTGTACCACCACTACATGTTGCTAGAGTTCTAGAACTTGATCTGTACCACCACTACATGTTGCTAGAGTTCTAGAACTTGATCTGTACCACCACTACATCCATGTTGCTAGAGTTCTAGAACTTGATCTGTACCACCACTACATGTTGCTAGAGTTCTAGAACTTGATCTGTACCACCACTACATCCATGTTGCTAGAGTTCTAGAACTTGATCTGTACCACCACTACATGCTGCTAGAGTTCTAGAACTTGATCTATACCACCACTACATGTTGCTAGAGTTCTAGAACTTGATCTGTACCACCACTACATGTTGCTAGAGTTCTAGAACTTGATCTGTACCACCACTACATCCATGTTGAATAAGTTATAGAACTTGATCCACTATCCATGTCGCCATACCCAACTTTTAGTTTTTTATGCATGTGCTGTTTTAGTCTGTTGTGGTATGTTCTGAGTCTGATGATTATGTGCTGTTTTAGTCTGTTGTGGTATGTTCTGAGTCTGATGATTATGTGCTGTTTTAGTCTGTTGTGGTATGTTCTGAGTCTGATGATTATGTGCTGTTTTAGTCTGTTGTGGTATGTTCTGAGTCTGATGATTATGTGCTGTTTTAGTCTGTTGTGGTATGTTCTGAGTCTGATGATTATGTGCTGTTTTAGTCTGTTGTGATATGTTCTGAGTCTGAGGATTATGTGCTGTTTTAGTCTGTTGTGGTATGTTCTGAGTCTGATGATTATGTGTTGTTTGCGTGTTAATTAGATTGAACACATTTGTGTGTTTTCTATTTGTTTCCTCCAGGTAAGTCGAGTATCAAAAGTGACTCCTAAGTATTTGGGGTGGTCATTTTTTTCTAGCACTTGGTTTTCTATGGTGAAGATTGAATAGGTTGTTTTCTTGGCATTAATAGATAAGCCCCAGTTTTTGGCCCATTTGCTGAGCTTGTCAAGTGTTTCCTGAAGCCGAAATTTTGAAGTACCAATATATTCTTCTGTGCTGATTAGTGAAAGGTCGTCTGCAAACATGCTTCTTTTTACTCTCCTTGGGATGTTTTCATTTAAGTCATTTATATTGATGAGAAAGAGAGTAGAGACAAAGACTCCTCCCTGAGAAACTCCATTTTTTTAGTTACAGTATGGCTTCTTATTCCGTGCATGGAGACTGGTGCTTTTTGGTTGGTTAGGTATCCAGGGTGATATTGAAACTACTCAATTAAACAAAACAAAAATACAAATGGACGAGTGTTGGGCATCAAAAGTGGGAATAGAGGGGCAAATGTATATTGGGAGGTGGGAATAGAGGGGCAAATGTATAATGGGAGGTGGGAATAGAGGGGCAAATGTATAATGGGAGGTGGGAATAGAGGGGCAAATGTATATTGGGAGGTGGGAATAGAGGGGCAAATGTATATTTGGAGGTGGGAATAGAGGGGCAAATGTATATTGGGAGGTGGGAATAGAGGGGCAAATGTATATTGGGAGGTGGGAATAGAGGGGCAAATGTATATTGGGAGGTGGGAATACGGGGGAAAATGTATATTGGGAGGTGGGAATACGGGGGAAAATGTATATTGGGAGGTGGGAATAGAGGGGTATATTGGGAGGTGGGAATAGAGGGGCAAGTATACAGCAGCAGATGTGGGGATGCAGTGGCAAGTAAAACATTTGAAATATTTGGCCTGCATGCTCTTGTTATACTGGTTAGTCTCATGGAAAGCTGGTCTAGCCACATTATCCTACTTATAAGGCAGTCATACTAGTTTTATTCAAAACATATAAACAAACTAGGAAACTGAGGGAGGGGGTGGACATAGGATCAAAAGGAGATTAACCTGATCAACAGGGGATTAACTAGTAGTGGCAAAAAAGGAAGAACTGAAAAAAATTAGAGTTAGGGCTAGGTTTAGGATTAGGATAAGAGTTAAGGTTTAAAAATCAATATTTGATTGTTTAAAAAACAAAAATGGATTTGGCCTGTACAGTATCTGAGAGGTGTAGCAAGTTGAGGTGCGTGGGTGGGTCGGACAGCATCGGATTGTGTGACACCATTTAGGTGGTGACAAAGGGGGGAGAA